ATGAAATGTATTATTACTGATTCGCAAACTTTCGCACACACCTATGACCTTATAAAACAATTAAAAAACCATGATCTGTATCAGCCCTGTGCGTTGTAATTCTGGAATATTATGAGGAAATAGGGGAAACGGGATTTTAAATCACAACCAAAAAATAAAAAAAATAACCTCTATCTGGTAATATCAACATGTTTTTCAAAATGAAATACATGTACAGTACACGGAACAACAATTTCCAATTATTATTAACCAGAACTGCACATCGATTATCCATGATTTAAGCGATTTATTATCTTCTGCGCATGTAGATTAACATGTTTAAAATCACTATCTTGATTCTGTCCCGGCTTATTAGCGGCGACCATCATGAGATCAAAGTGAAGAAACATGTAGGGAATGTTATTGAGACGACATTGACGGAGACAATCACAGTGATGAATGTCCATTCGTAATAGGTCCATGCACAAACAAACAAACAAACATAATGATATATATACAAAAATCAGGAGATGATGGCAAACTGAGAGAGTTTTAATGTTTTCATTTCCTTACCTTCTCCAAGACGGTCCTCCAAGTCTTCTCCTTTATTACCCCCAAGATTTAGGAACGTTTACAAGCAGAAAACTGTAATCGCAAGACGAAAAAAGTATCCACGACTCCAAAACCGAGTTGCAATACGAGTCGATCAAATTTCTTGTCGAAGAATTATTGTTTAAATTATAATGTCTGTTTCGTTTTCCCGGACCCTGTACACACGAACAGAGAAGACGAAAATTTATTATCCACGACCCGAGAACCATTTACAAAGAGCGATCGTATTTGAAAAGACTGAGTTATTATCCAGGACTCCGAAACCGAATTAAAACGCCACTGTTCTTATTCGAGCATAGATTAATCATTGTGCTGTATATTTATACATGTATATATATATATATATATATATATATATATTTTGCCACGTGTTAAAACATGGAGTTACGCGTACGCAACAAAGCTAGAGAATGAAAATTCCACCTTTGAAGGCTGGGATGTGAAAGAGAAATATTCGAGACAATGGTTGTATTTTTTGTCGTGGTAGCAGATGTGTTTAAAAGGTGTAAGGTTTGAGACAGAGATCGAGGCGGTGGAAAGAGAGAGAGAGAGAGAGAGAGAGAGGGAGAGAGAGAGAAAGAGAGAGGGAGAGAGAGAGAGAGGGAGAGAGAGAGAAGAGAGAGAGAGAGAGAGAGAGAGGGAGAGAGAGAGAGAGAGAGAGAGAGAGGGGGGGGGGGGGGGAGTAGTTAAGCACCCTATCAATAAATCTACCAACCGTAATTAAGGAATCAACAAATATTAAAAAGAAACTCTACCCTCCCTGATGGTACACTAAGATTTTTATATTAGGGGCAAAAGGAATAAATGTGAGTTGTTTGTGGAAAATCCGATAAAACGGAAGAAAATGATGAATGATTAAAGTTTAAATAGATCAAACGCAAAGTTGCAAATTGTGTGACATACCTTTCAGAAACTTCCCCATATGCTCTATGCTACAAAAAATAATAATAGTGAGCCCGAAATTTAATTTCTTTGGAAAAAATATTTTCAATCAATATTTGTTATTATAACCAATTTTAAACAATCCATTCGTGAACAAAACAAATGCAAAAGTGCGTCTCCAGTATTCCTCCGTCTAAATCACGGCTTGAATTATTCTTGAATTATTACGATGGGAACTTAAAGTTTATAATTATATGCCAGAGAATGAAAATTCCACCTTTGAAGGCTGGGGTGTGAAAGAGAAATATTCGAGACAATAGTTGTATTTTTTGTTGTTGATAGCAGATGTGTTTAAAAGGTGTAAGGTTTGAGACAGAGATCGAGGCGGTGGACAGAGAGAGAGAGAGAGAGAGAGAGAGAGAGAGGAGAGAGAGAAAGAGAGAGAGAGAGAGAGAAAAAGAGAGATCGAGGCGGTGGACAGAGAGAGAGAGAGAGAGAGAGAGAGTTCCCACCTAATAGCTTAAAATAACAACGTTTAAAAGCCTATAATTTCATGTAGGCCTATATTAACTTTTTGCACCAAAATCTACTCAGTTTGTTTTTCCATAAAGTAATGCATTTTAAATACCAAGTTGAACTTTTTAGCTTTTAAACGTTCTTGATAATGGGGCTATTAGCATTTGATTTGAAATATAAGGATTTTTAGCTGAAGGCCTAGAGTCACCGACATGAAAATTTAGACCTATTTATTTTCATCTGATTTTCGTCAACCCTTACTTATCTAGCTGTTTTTCTAATTGTCCTGCTTTTATCAAAAGTAACTCGTTATGTCGATGCAGAACTTATTCTGAAACAAAATCCTGGACTTAGCTCAAGCTGCAATGATAAGTATAAACCTTTAGGTCAGTCAGGAACCCCACGACTTTTACAAGCCGATCGCCTGTCTGATTATCAAGATATTTATGATTGGTAGAGGTGTTGTGGTCGAGTGTCGCCGGACTGTCGATAACAAGGTCCACGATTCGAGTCCCGCCGCGGCACTAATGTCCCCTTTGGCAAGACATTGATCTACATTTGCCACACTCAACCCAGGTGATGTAAATGGATACCTGGCAGGGAATGAAATTGAAATGCTGGAGCGCTGTATAAACGGTAGCTAGACTAAAGTCGGGGTAATAATAAATGTGCCTCAGAATAGAATTATCTAGATAGACGGCGCTATAGAAATGACTTTATTATTATTATTGGAAATCGAAATCAAATTTTGCGTTTTCCTTAACGGTTTTCGTAACACTACAACCTGAAGGGGGAAAACGAGTAGGCCTATGGTAAAACCGATCACTCAAAGAGTTTAATTTTTTGAAGCACTTCTTGATCATTGTGAAGCGCAATTTTGTTAGGGCTTCAATATATTAAACCATATCCCAGACACTCTTAGCATATCAGATTTAACATTGTTAAATGATGCCTTTAAGCACAATTAGACATTCCCTCTTATGCCTTAGATTTTGGTTCCAATATCTTCTTTCTTTCTCTCTTTAATTCTCTCTTTCTCTCTTTCTTCTTCTTCTTCTACTTCTCCTCTTTCTATTCCTCTTCCTCCTCCTTTTTCAAAATGGCCGCCATAAAGTGGCCTTTTTCGGCTCAGCTTCTGTTTGAGGTATACGTAATGGAACGTGCTCATTACTAAATTTCCTTGATGGAGACAACAAATTACGACGTCTTTATTTCTAATATATATGCTGCTTATAAGTATCGGCCTGCATGGTGATGTAGTAGCCTAAGGTTTGCAGTTGCACCATGTACCATGGGTGTGGATCTGTAATTGATATTGTTCAGGGGGGGGGGGGGGGGATGATCTATTCATTCATCCCCCCTGAACGATAGGTATTACGTAAGGATTGACGCCCATGCCATGTACACTGTCGCTCATATAGGTGGAATATTTAGTTTTACCCCAATTTATGGAATTATTTAAAAAATAATTTAAAAATAATAGATCTAGATAAAGTATACATTATCAGATTTTATTGAATAATAATTTGCAAATGTGTGTTTTACGTGACTGCTAAAGCATGTGGTGGCTTCTATGCTTATCAACTAGGGGACCTATGCCCTTAATTCATAAATGACAGTAATGAGGATTAATAGGGGACCTACGCCCTTAAGTCATAAATGATAGTAATGAGGATTAATACCCCCCAATTAAGGGCACTAATATAGCACATCGACACGGTTTTTATCCTCACAGTTACGACGCCATTGCTTTGTCACTGAACCATGACTGTGCGCAGCGGGGGCTAGGGCAGTTTCCAAAAATAATTTTAAAAAAACACAGAAAATGCAATAATTTATTGAATCATCTTTTACCCCGGTTCCCAGCATAAAAAATCCTCTGTGTGCCCATGCCTTGAGCCATAATGCATGGCCATCCAGAGGATAGTATTGTGTTTGGTTGGATGGGGTTATTATTTGTTTTATGTTACAACTGATTTCATTTTTGTTTTCATCAATCGTACAATCTATGTAATGAATCTAGAGGGTCTAGTCTAGAAAAATCTATGTGGTCTAGATCTAGACCTTTCTAAACCTACTTTTCATAAATTCATGCCAAGCCCGCGCCGATGGTTTGTTGTGTTGTGTCTTGAGAAGTTGAGTGTTTGTGTGTCTCACGGTCACTGAGTTCGAGCACAAGTCTGAGCTGAATGAGAGGTACTTTGTCTTTAGGCCCATCTAGACTAGACTCTAGTACAGACTGTCGAATGTCTCTACACTCAACTCCTACAAATTTATACTACATCATGATCATGTTTACGCCTAGAGTCTACATCAATACATTGTTGTACTTGAATTTTGAAGCAAGTTTAAATCTGTTCAAGCATAGTCTATAGCCAATAAATCAATGTGTGTTCTTCCTAATCTACATCAGTACATGTAATCTTAGTCAAATTCAACCTTTCACATGGGACATCTAATGCTAATTTACATGTACATGTATCTAATTTCACATTTTATCAAGCATGAGTAGATTTTTAACAAAACATGACAGGAATTGGCCCCTACGTTCTTATGGAGGTTCAGTGACATCATCTTTCCTAATTACCCAATAGTCTGAATCAATAAATAGCACTCATTTCTTTAATGCAATCAAAATATCGTTAATATTTTTTTTAGAGTTTGCAAAAGCTATTCAAAATCAGATTGTCTACAATACAAAGAATGCAAAACATGTAATATCATAGACCTCTAGGATTTATTTGATAAACAATGAATGATATTTTTCATTTCATGTTCTAATTTTAATTCACTTGTTTCTATTTTGTTGTGACAGAGACGGCATGGCTGAATATAGTCACCATCTCCGCCAGCTTGATCGGAACAGAGAGTTGATAGGCAGACCTCAGAGAGGCCTTCGTGACCCATGAACCCTTTTAAAGTGTATGATGATGAGTCATTTCGGACCAGGTACTGGTTTTCCAAAGAGACGGCGCTCTACCTCATCAACTTGGTGGATGAAGAGCTGAGGAGGGACGACAGACAGAAACGACCCAATACCTATACAGGTAGTGACAGCACTTCGATTCTATGCTGTTGGTGAGTAATTTACCTTATTAGTATTTAGTAAATTTCTATTTAATCTGGGCTGAGCGAAAAAGTAAAAGGGTAAAATTGCGGTTACCATGTTTTGCGGGAGGTTTTTTCATAAACCGGGAGATTCTACACCAAAGCGGGAGGAAGGGCGTGGTGGCGTGAGACTCCCTCTAAATGCAAGAGGGTTGACAGCCCTGATTTAATAAAAAATCTATTCTACAATTTTAAGGACATTAAACATTTCTCAGTTTGAGAATTTGATCTGGCCATGTAACTTGTAAGAAATTGTACTAGTTGATATTTCACTAAAAGGATTTTTTTTTTTTACAGGGTCATTCCAAAAGATGCATGGTGATGAGGCACAACTTTCACAGTCTTCTGTATGCAGAGTCATCAAAGACGTGTCCGAAGCGTTTGCAAGAAGAAGGAAACAATTCATGAAGTTCCCAACATCAAGAGAAGAAGTAGAAGCAACACAGCAGCAGTTCTACCAATACTGCAGGTTGCCAGGTTTTCTAGGTGCGATTGATAGGACTCATGTCTACATCAGGAGTCCTGGTGGAGATCAAGCCCTGTATTTTACTAATAGGAAGAACAGATACTCTATTAATGAAATGAAAATTTTCCCTTTTGTGGAGATGCTCCCCATTTACTTTTAATCCAATTAATTAAATGACCGATATGGAATTGGTTCACCCTTTAAGTTTCTCTGAACGAAACGTACACCCATGCAGTATGGTCTGAAACAATTAGACCGGATGATTTGAAATCTAATGGTTGATATAGTTCCTCCCAAAAAACATTTTTGCAAAAGGTACCAACCACTTTGAAAGGGAAATCGTCATCATCTTTCATCATCATCATCATCATTACTGAAATCGTTATTTGACTGCTTCATCACCATCGCCACCGACAACATTGCTGTCATCATTATCATACTGACATCATCATCGACTTCAACATTGTCTTCGTCAATAACCTTGAATACTTGTTTTGATTATCCATATTAAATCGTCAATATTTAAATATAAATTTCTCTTGTTTGATGGTGTGGTTTTTCTCGTGAAATCATTAAGTTAGGAGGTAAACGTTTTACAAGTGAATGACCTACTTTGTCTATCTTGTTTAATTATTAATATACCATTTGCTGTTATCTATTACTTATAATTACCCAGTACACACCATGAATTAAAATGGATTCGGTATGTTTCGCTAAATCCAAACACCCACAGAGAGAGAGAGAGCAAAAGATAAAGAGAGAGATGAAGAAAGAAGAGAAAAGGGAATGTGTGAGAGAGAGAGGTAGAGAAAAAAGAGAAAGAAAAGGGGTACGAGAGGGATTTTAAAAAATGGAGTTCTAACGAAATAAAAAGATATTTGAGAGAGGTGGGGTGGAGAGCTGGTGAAAAAAGAGAGACAACAAACAAAAACAAGGAAGGTGAAAGAGTGAGAAGTATAGACGAAATTTACAAAAAAGTTCTTTTCTTTTTGTTTAAATCACAATTCCCTTGAGAAATTCAATAAAGCAGAAAAATTAAGAAGAAAAAAATGAACGCCCCCCTAAAAAAGAATTAATACAGCAAATAAACAAATTCAGAAAAAAATTAATGCCCCCCCTAAGAAAACAATGCCCCCTCCCCCTAAGAAAAATTAAAAACAAAATTACCCCCACCCCCAGTAAAGCCCCACCCCCTAAGGAAACAATTAATGCCCCCTCCCCCTATGAAAAATTAAAAACAAAATTAACCCCCCCCTCAAAAAAAAAATCCCATCCCCTAAGAAAACAATTAATGTCCCCTCCCCCCCCCCCCGAATTAGGCCTAATAATTCTTTATCACATGTCAAGACTGCCTTGTTTTTGCTGTCTCCTATTTTATGTGACCAGTAAGCCCGGTTTTTTTCCTCAATACATTTATGCATTTTATGCATTAATGCCAGTATTTTCTATCAGATAGTATTTATCGTAACCTTTCCGCCTTTTCTTTCTACATCATCAACACATTCTGGACTAAACGTCATCGATCGCTTTCGCTGCCTCTACGGAGTCTACGCTATATATAACACGAGTCTACTCTTACTTCGGATTGATTAATTGCTAAACTAAAGTGTGACCTACGCTCTAAAATCATCATAACAATCAACGAAAATGTGATCATATAGCTCTAAAATGAACACTACATCATAGAAAATTTTCACTCTGGTATAAGGGTCGTTTACAGAAGTTTTGTGGACTCTTCCACGAAAACTGTCGATGTTTAGTGTGTTGTAATGCCCAGCTGATCATAATTATGTCGGACGATTATAGGCCATAAATTAACAACGATAGTGAGGAAATATTGAGGTAATTTATACGAAATTCGGTAATATTTTAGGGACATCTGTCAGAGGACTGTTTTAGTATGTGAATAGTGGTTTAAAGTCTTATCTCAACTTAGAATCGGTCGGTTTTCAGTCACTACTTGTAGGCGAAGAGTAATAGCCCAAATACAACTGAATCTGGACTTAGCAGACGACGGTGAACTAGGTGGAGTAACCAAGTGTACTGAGCGCGCATGCTCAGTTCAATGCTTCAATTCTGCGCATGCTCAGTTTATTTTTTTGCTCTCTTAGGCATGCTTAAACCGTGGGTTAAACCGTGGGTTAGATTTAGACCATGGGTTAAATCTAAACCTCCTTTGTGAATTCGGGCCATTGAGTTCATGTCATTGTATTGTTTGGAATCAATAAAAACAAAAATTATTGACAAAAAAAAAAAGGTGCGTATATATCATAAAAGTACTTTGCCCAATTCAGCGTATTTAAAAAAAAATTAAATGAACTTGAACAATCACTTCTTTGATAAAACAAATTCTGCATAGTTTTCCCATAAAGGAGCTTTTCATAGGCTCCTCCTTAATTACCTCGTTAGTTTTACTCAAATAAAAGAAATACAAAAATCGCAACAAACACTTGGACAAAGATTTTTTTTTATTAAACAAATGACCGACAAAATTAAGCCTTTTTTGGTGGATTAATCTTGTAGCATTTAAACAAAAACTTGTTTTAAAGTTCAACAATAAGTAGGCCTACATTTGGCTCTCCATAAGCATTCCTGTCAAATTTTTCCTTGACCTGTATCAACGACTTGTCGTCAGTTTCTGACTTTTAGAGGTACGATAAACCGTTGTTATTTCAATGCATGCTACCGTTATATATACCAGCTTTTTGCGATTCTAAGATTGCTGATACCAGGGACCTAGGCAATAGCTGAAAGCCTGAAACTCGAAGGATCGCGGCGCTCACTCACCGGTACGGGGACGGACGTGGCAGACAGGCCGGACAGGCCAGGCCGGGCACAGCTCCAGGGCCCGCACGCGCATCCGCGCTGTCCATCCCGCTCCCGGCTCCCGCTACGCGCTATAGGCCTAGATCTAAGTTAGGTTCTACATTACATTTGCTAATTTTGGTTTACTATGGTGTTGAGGCTTGCAGCTTCAGCTTATATGTGCCCCTCTTGACTGCATTGGATGCGCGTTGGTATGGGCAGGTATAGAACTTAGAAGGAATAACCGTCTGATATGATATGGGTCATTTCTTTAATAGACTATTAAAACTAAGGCCGTGAGCACACATAGGAGCATCACTATCCTGGCTGTGTACTGTAGTAGGTAAAAGCTTAGACCGAAAGCTTCAGTCTCTATACCGTCGGTTGTTCCACTGAGACTACGTCTGGCTCCACTAGACCTCCGGTTATAGAGACAGAACGATCGCCTATGCCAGCCTATGTTGAAGATATCACGGCTAGATTTTAGCCGAAGGCAAAATGATTATGAAGGAAAAACTGTGCGCCATCTACACGTTCGTAATGGCGTTATCACAGTTTTTCCTTCATAATCATTTTTGCCTTCGGCGTAGACTAGAAGGGATGAGATTGACGGCAGCGAGAGTTTAACACGGCTTGCAAGATTTTCAACATGGATGTCGATTTTGACCCATAATTTCCTTAAAAGGGACCATTAAACGGATTATTTCAATCAAGTTAGTAAGTGGAACCGATGTATTATAGCCTAGGCCTAATATAAAATTGGATATGCACGAGGTAAAATGACATTTGGGGGATTTTGGGGGCATAACAATACGGCCGTGGCAAGTTTGTTCATGTTTGTGGGAGGGGCCTAACGGCTAAAATCTAGCCGTGATATCTTCAACATAGGCTGGCATAGGCGATTGTTCAGTCTCTATAACCGGAGGTCTAGTGGAGCCAGACGTAGTCTCAGTGGAACAACCGACGGTATAATGACTGAAGCTTTCGGTCTAGTAAAAGCTGTGCTTTTGATTCTCAACATTTCAAACACCACTGTACAAAAATCAACTGATTTCACTCAAAATCGGTACTTAAGTGACAATCGATGACACCTAAATTAGTAAATAGCAGTAAAATACATTTTTTTTTAACTTGCTGATGTTAAAAAGAATAATTTTAAAAATTCAAATCGTAAGTCTAACTTTTAGTGTCAAACTTTGCTTACAGCTGCATCGACATGATTGTGTACAGTCAATGCAATATTGTTTGGTGTGTGTATTTGTGTATGGGTCTAAAAAATACCCGCCTCGCAGCAAGCATGCAGTGCTAGAGGTCAATACGCATTGGCATTGACTCTCTATGCTTTGCTGGAGTGGCCGTGAGGGCTTGGTGGCAATGTTTTTATGATATTGATACCTCCAAGCCTGAAACGGTTCCCATACAAGCGCACGTGCACAGAGAGGCATGTAAACAAACCCTACATTTTTTTCATAAATGTAATGCTTCCTGGGAGAAATTTTTTTTTTCGTGGGTTTGGCGGGAGGTTTTGTCATAAACCGGGAGATTCAACATAGTTGGCGGGAGAGCGGGAGGAAGACGTGGTGGCGGGAGTCTCCCGCTACAAGCTTTTGGGGCGGCGGGAGAATGAACGTGGTGGCGTGAGACTCCCTCCAAATGCGGGAGGGTTGACAGCCCTGGCTTAGGTATTTGATTCTAGTTCATCGTGACTGTGCCATGGACCAGTGATGGCCTGGTGGTATAGTTGCTGCCCGGCAAGCAGTAGGCCTAGATGCAGGTTCAAATCCCGCTGGTTCCAAGATTTTTTCTGACTTGTTTTTTCAATACAGATCGATCAATCGATCTTATTTACTGGGAGCAAGCCACAAATATGTTTAAATAAACCCTAAAATGTGTCCGAAATTCCACCTTTCTGCACCCGACGAATATTGGACAGTGGCCTCGATGAATTTTATGCCACTTCTACTCCTAATTGCCTATGAAAATTAAAAAATAGAGGTAAAAATAACGAAATATTGGCGAATATCTTAACAGAGCGATACAGCTCAGCTCCTTTTCATGTGTAGCGTGTGACTTTATGATCTTGGTACAATGGTGTTGACCTCTGACTGATACTTCCGTAAATATACTGCTACCGTATAATGCGCTGTATGAGTGTTATGCAGTAATTCTACAGTTAATTCTTTCCAAAATAGTTGAAACTTCCAGAACAACCTAAAAATGCTCTAAATTTTAATGATTAAAAGGGATACTAAAATGATCAGCAATACCTTCTTGATGCAGAATGTCGAATAACTAGTCCAAGGTCAACTCTGAAGCTCATTTGGTTGAATTTTAGGCGTTTTTTCAGGACAATGCAATCCTATTTTTAACCATGTGTGTGTGTGTGTTTGGGTTTTTACAGACGTGTATCAATCAGAAATGATTATTTACGTCTGGGGACCGACCTGTAAACGTCGCCATCCAAAAGAATTGACTCAGTTTCGAATCTGCGTCCTCGGCTGAATCAGTTTGTAACTTCCATTGTTAGCTGGAAACCGATGAATCGATTTCCCCTTGGTTTTCGAGGAACAATTATTACAACCAAACACTTGGCAGTACACCATGTGTGACCTGTATTGCATATAACACGCGCGCCGCGCTACATCAGTTCTCCGTGCAATACGTAACAACCTGAAAGTTTTGAAGGGAAATTTCTACAAAATGGCAGCTTTCTTGGGCAGCAGACGACCTCGTAAATATGGCGAAGTAGGGTCTCTTTCTTGTCCTTGCAAGACAATGATATTTGGTCTACAGCAATGCTTTTTAAATCAAATGACACATTGTTTTACTCTCTATGTCATGATAATGCTTCATAGTTGAGAGGTTAATTCTCTTTAAGGGGGGGGGGGGGGTATGTGAATGATCATCATCATTTATGGGCTTAAATTGGAGGCATACAGTGTATATAATTTTCATCTACCATTATTCTGTCAGTATATGGAGTAACTTTGTAAGTTCTTTCTTCTTCTTCCAAGGAAAGTGCTGCTTCAAGGCCTTGAAGATTGCGCACTGTGTGTGCCTGTGAGGAGCCTGTGTGAGCCTGCTGGCCAGGATCCTTGTGCATATACAGGGTGCAGACTCTGAAGAAGGAAAGACTTGGTAGCCATGGCAACTGCCTCCCAGCGTGAGCTCTTCTATTCTGCTGGGCTTCTGGCTCTGGTCTTGGCTTGCTACTCTAATGCCCTCTCCTGTGGATTCGTCTTTGATGACCGGTCAGCGATCGTCGAGAACAAAGACCTCCGGCCAGACTCGTCCACCTTCGATTTGTTTTCGAATGATTTCTGGGGGATGCCCATGCACAAGGTTGAGAATTTTTTTGAAAAATTTTCTGTAAATAGCTTTTTTCTATTAGAAATATTGAAGAAAAGCAAAGCTAGACATGTAGTTATTCAATAGACCCCTACTTATAAAGCAAATTGTCTGATCTTTTATGTAAATAGCTTTTTTCTATTAGAAATATTGAAGAAAAGCAAAGCTAGACAACTAAACAATTAATTAATGCATATCTATGTTAATTTTACACTGGAGTATTAAAGTGCCTGTACAAACACAGATTTATATGTCGCAAATTGACCTCTAATGTGTTTGTGGAAGAAATATCAAATACAATATAACACAGGATCTTTTCTGCTTATTTTTGAAAAATTTGTTCTATTCATTGGATGAAAATAATAGATTGAATAGTTTTACAACCATTCTGAAGACTAAATTTATTTTCCCTTCAATTAACAGGAAAGAAGTCACAAGTCATACCGTCCTCTGTGTGTTCTTACCTTCCGTCTCAACTACGCTCTTGGAGAGTTAAACCCATGGGGTTATCACCTTGTCAACGTGGTGCTGCACTGGGCGGTGTGTGTCCTCTTCTTGAAAGCGGCCAAACAAATTGTAGATGAAGAGAGCAGTGTCAACGCATCTCTTCTCTTTGCTGTACATGCTGTTCACACTGAAGCGGTATGTTTATCAATTTTTAAAAGCAGAAACCTTCACATCAACATAAAACTTGGGAACTTGCAAGGGTTTCCTTGTTTGCAGTGAGCATCCTTCCTGCTTATTCTGTTAGATGAAGTTATTCTGTGGGATGAAGCATTTGCAATCTCCCACTATTCACCAAATACGAGACAGCTTCTGATTTCATGCAAACAAGCCGTCCTGGGTGCGTCTTTTTTTAACCTAACTTAGCCATCCTATCGCTGCATTTGATTGGCTCAATAAGAACCATACGTCATGAGCTAGTCATAAATATTCATGATACGCATGCACACAGAATCTGATGCGATAATTTATCAAATAATGAGATTTCATACAAAAATGACAAGTGCAAACCTTGAAGTCAATAACATTGCGAGAAAATCGGGTGGCTTACCATAAATGAATGCTTACCCAGGTCATAAATTGTCCATAATCATTGCAAGATACTGGTTAAGTCCAGAATCTGGCTGATTTAATTTTGATCTCCTCCTCACCGTACCAACAAAAATATTCATATATTCAAATATTAATATGCAGCACAGGAGGGTAAGGTTAGGTTTAAAAATGTTGCGTCCTGGGTCTTGATCCTTGCTTGGTTCTTACATCTTATAAAATAATTTTTAGGTTTATTTGTAATTTTTGTTTAATATATAATTGCTTGTCATTGTATTTTGTGTGGATAGCGTTTCGAGACTTTGTTGGAAAGCGCTTTATAAGCACAGTTAATTATCATTATTGAGGTGCTTCCCAACAGTAAAAAGAAGGTTTGTCATTTATCATTCTTTATAAATCAGTAATCATTTTCTTGTTTGCATTTCTATGTACATGTAGGTTACTGGAGTGGTAGGTAGAGCTGAACTGCTGTCCTCTGTCTTCATGCTACTATCGTTCATGGCTTACGTCAAAGCAGCCGAGGCCAATAGCACCACAAGTAATTTGTCCATGTTTTATACCTCATTTTTCTTCTTATTGGGGGGGGGGGGGGGGGGGTCATCTAATCACTTTAAAACAAGAAACTTTCTTGAAGCGTAAACAACAGCCATTTTCAAAGCAACAGACTTTCACGTCTTGAAACTGTCAAAGTTTAGTTCATGTGGCATGAAAAGTAGCAAATCTGAACCACTCACAATCACACTCTTCTTTCATTATTCCTATCTGAGCTATTATTTATTTAAATTCCCAATTCCCAAAGTGTAATGCTACGGTCACAAACGTTCGTACGAACGGTAATTTTGTACGAATCTCTGTTTTTCCATTGTCTTCCCGAATTTCCATTGTCTGAAAATCGTTCGTAAGGCGTTCGTAGCAGTTCGTAATGGCACTTGTGACCGAGGCTTAACGCAAACAGTAGTTGGAAGAACAACAATAATCAATTGCAGTTTTTTTTCCCCCCCTCCCCCCCCCCCCCCCCCCCCCCCCCCCACCGTGCTGATAGTGTTAATTTTAAAATTATTTTTACCCTTGGGTCCTTCTTTGCTTCATTTAACAGACTGGAAGTATATGATGTGGTCGGGTTTGCTCATTGCCATGGCCACCATCTCCAAAGAACAGGGCATTACTGTGGTTGGCATATGCTGCATCTATGAAATCTTTTTCCTACAGAAGGTATGTGTGTATGTTAAACATTAGAAGGTATATGTATATATGTTGAACATTAGAAGGTATATGTATACATGTTAAACATTAGAAGGTATATGTATATATGTCAGACATTAGAAGGTATATGTTAAACATTAGAAGGTATATGTATGTATGATAAACATTAGAAGGTATATGTATGTATGTTAAACATTAGAAGGTATGTGTATGTATGTTAAACATTAGAAGGTATATGTATGTATGTTAAACATTAGAAGGTATATGTATGAATGTTAAACATTAGAATGTGTGTGTATGTATGTTAAACATTAGAAGGTGTATGTATGTATGTTAAACATTATTAAAAACAGTTGGGGAAAATTCAAAAATGGTTGGGAGAATTTACTGTTAATCACTATTAGAGGTTGTCATACATCAACTCCGTCAAAGAAAACCATAGATATCTTCGTGGTTTGAGAATTTTTCAGGATTTTTGCATGTCAGAGGGCTAGCACAGTAGAAGGAATATAGTAAGTAACATTTATACAAAAATTAAGCAATTTTTTCATCAACCTTCAACAATGTTACCAAGTCACTTTAAAGGTATTACAAAGTTTTGGCAAATTTTGAGAAATGGGTAGATAGTGATTCTTTACAATTTTGATATATTTGGATGCCCCTGTGGATGTAATAAAAGCACTATAAATTTAGCCCCTAAAACGCTTCTGTTTTTGAGAAAAATTGAATATAAAGATTTACCTGTGCTCCCGGTAAATTTTGATAAATTTCAAATAGCTCCTACGGCCGTACTTTGGTAGCTGAGACCCAGTCGGTTAAAACAAACAAACCAAATAAATTAAGCTATTGTGTTCAATTGTCCATCTCATCTGATTTGTAATCACAGGCAGACTAATGTAATTATTTATCCCTTCTTTGTCCAGTTCTCACTTAAGGCATTCATGCAGCATCCTAAATCGAGAGGTTCAAAGGCATCGCAGAGCTCATCACCCAATTCTCAGGCTTTGTGGAGGGCTGCTCCTAGGTTGGGATTCCTGATGACATCATCTGGGCTGTTACTATGGGGACGGATGATCATCATGGGGGCAAAGTTGCCCTCCTTTACCAGGTATTACAATGGAGTGACACAACATTTGCTATGGCAATAATTCCCTAGGCTTTAGCTTGTCAAAAATATAAAGTTATGGTTACAATTTGGGTAGTTGGTCACGGTTAGGGGTAGGTATAGTATGTCTTCTAGGGTTGAATTTAGGAATTCAGATAGTGTTGGTAATTACATAGTTCTCCCATAAGTACTCTTGACATGAGTAAATGCAGCAAGCATGAAGCTCTGGGGGGTGTTTCACAAAGACTAAGATCGACTTTGAGTTGAACTTAACTATGGAAGGCCATTCATGCCACTGGTTTCTCTCACCATTGGTCTCTCAATCATGATCTTTAGATAATATCTTTTCCTTCAATAATGAACTATCAACTTTATCAATATAAATTCTGTAGATTTGTGACCACGATTTGTACGTCCCTCGAGTAACCAATGCCAGTAAATGGTGAGAGCAAAGTACAGTGGCATGAACAGCCTGCCATAGTTAAGTCCAACTTAAAGTCGATCTTAGTCTGTGTGAAACACTCCCCTTGGGGTCTCAATGACTCTGACCTGTGTCCATGTGGTCAAATTCAGACTGTTGAGCACGTTCTGAATGAGTGTGCTGTAGCAGGACCCCCATGTTCCCTCACTGGTACCGACAACCAACAAACGATGTTCTATGGTTGATCTATGAAATAATACAGGAGTAAATGGAGATAAGTTCATAAATTTAATTACCATTTATGAGATGGTGCTCTAAACTCTTTTACGTGGTTTAGACTGTTAAGAAAAAAATTGGATGGGACAATACTGTAACGTATTCTTAGCATAAGCGTATTTGTCATTAATTTTTGTTCCATCTTTCATGTCACATACCCTATCAAACTCCTGGTGTTTTCAATATCTATACCAAGATTTGATAACCCAGCTGCCCTGTCGCCCTTCCCAACTCGTCACCTGACCCACTTATACCTTCTGCCAGTCAACGTTTGGCTCCTCCTCTGTCCCTCAACTCTGCTCTGTGATTGGACAATGGGAACCATCCCACTGGTGACCTCTCTCAGTGACCCTCGTAACCTGGCAACCCTTTTACTGGTGTCCTGCCTCTTCCTACTGGTGCTGTATGCAGTATTTGCAGAAGAGAAAATTTCATGCCAACTTATAATGGTAAATTCAATTTCTATATTTCATTTCTTCAATTTATATAGCCTTCGATGAGAAGTGTGCAGATGCATTATAATCATTTAGAGGTTTTCCATCTTTCTGTGGTCGTCACTACTATAAAGTAACTTGCATGCATTGTTCTGTCTGAAGTTATAGGTTTACTCTAGTAACTTCATTGCAGAACAGTCTAAGGGATGTTATCCAAAATTTGGTTCAAGTACACCTATGTAGAAGCGCATGAAAGGATAACACTAGTAAGATTTTGGTTTGAAGGTCAAAGGTCATATTCTGTATGCTGTAATGTTTGACTTAAGATTATTCAGATGTCATGGCAACCATCTTATAGTTGTTGGTCACAAAGCTAGCCAAAAAGGAACTACCTTTAATCCTCGTTTGCGTTTTTCCTTGTAAACCTCGATCTGGTGTATATATGTATACATGAATAGGAGTTGGGATCAGAAGGAAATAATCTTCTTGTAAAAAAGGTCCCTAAGCACAATCACATGTGTGTTGATGAGATACAGAAATGTAATTTAGATGAAGACATACTAATAGTCTGCATGGTCATCATGTTATTCCTTTGCCTTTAGTACTTTACAGCATGGGTCCTATACAGTTTACCAGGGTAGCGTCTCACCAAACCGTCATAAGTATAACTTCACCGACATCCTGTTGAAACGTGTGTTAAACTTAATGCAAGCATTTCAATGGAATGTTGTTGAACTTTTACTTATGACGGTTTCGTGAGACGCTGCCCAAGACTCTATTTCTTATGCCTTAAAGTATTAAAAATGATTGGTTGTCTGATGTCTCTCCTATCTATGTCTTCTTCAAACATTATTTTCCAGGCTTTATCGTTTCTTGTCCTGCCATTCTTGCCAGCTAGTAACTTGTTTTTCCCAGTTGGGTTCGTTGTTGCCGAGAGGGTGCTCTACACTCCTAGTATGGGATACTGTTTGCTTGTTGCCATAGCGATGGAGAGATTACAAGCCAATAGGTAGGATACTGATTCAATCAATTTTCTTGCAAGTATTCACTTCTGGTCACTGGAACCCTTTTCATGACTGGAACTTTTGGGTGTTTGTATAGAAAAAGTACTGATATGTTTCCCCTATGCTATATTTTAATTTGTATGGCTCCGCTACAAATTGTGTCATGTATGTATCTTACAGAGCCAATGAACCGAGTAGAATTTGGGGTCTGAGGTCAAAGGTCATTAGGCTCATTATGTATACAAAAATACATGTAGCTTGTGAACCCATTATCATTAGAACCGATGGATGGATACTGTCAAACTTAGGACATGTATGTATCTGGCACAGCCAATGAATTGATTAGATTTTAGGGTCATGAGGTCAAAGATCAAAGGGGCCATACGTGTACATGTTTATGAAAAATAGCTTGTGATCACAATATTCTGAGAACCTGTTTTACAATAGCTTGTAATCACTATATTCCGAGAACCTGTTAATTTATTACAACCAAACTTGAATTTGAAAAATTGCTTCTGTTGTGGTTTGTTAAATCGCTCTATTGCGGAAGATCCATCTAGTTTAATTAGTAATTAGTAGTATTTTTGTGAAGCTGTTATAAGTTTTTCACAACTCTTCATCCTAATTTCCATTATCATTATTGCATATTTAGTTTGGTAAACTGTGACACATTTAATAGTATAATGAGGAGTAAGTGCAATATATTTTGTTGATTAAAAAAAACAACATTTATCTCCATAGAAGGCCCATGAGGTATGTCGTTGGTGGCATCTTTGCCGTCATCCTGCTTTTGCATGCTGGGAAAAACTATCCAAAGGAATCCTGATTGGTATGTCCCAATTTTGTTTTTATTTTTTTAATCAGACTGGAGCTCACGTACGTAGGATCTTTCTTCCCAAATAACTAGAATTTATAGAAAGTTTACAGTTCGGCCTTGTAATTAAATTAAATTAAAAAAAAAACTTGGGCCCATACATTCAAGACCCCTAATTAGCTGCTTGTCAGCTAACTTGCAGTATGTATCAGTATTTTATTTAGGCCTTTCAGATATAACGAAGTAACTTTTTAATGCCTCCACCACCGAAGGCGGCGCCAGAGGCATTATTTTTTTTGGTTGGTCCTCCGTCCGTCTTTTCGTTATCGAGGTAAATAAAGAACCATTGAGCAGATTTTGACCAAACTTCAATCAAGTGTGTATGAGCCTGCAAAGATGAATTGATTAGATTTTGGACAGAAAAGGTCAAAGGTCACAGGGTCATGAAAGTGTTGAAGCATGCCAGAAAATACTTTGTTACCACAATTACTTGAAAAGTATTGAAGCAATTCAAACCAGACTTGGATGAAATATGAATGAACATGCAGGGATGAACTGATTAGATTTTGGGTGTAAGAGGTCAAAGATGAAAGATCATAGGGTCATAAAAATGTTGTGTTACTGTGATAACTTAAAGGGGCACGTTCCCGCCAGTGTAGTTATCGCTGCTCTAGTCATCGCCATCTTGGTTCCGAAGATCGACTTCTTATTTGCATACAGCTATCAATCAAAGTACGCGCGTCCTGGCCTGCCTTCGCCAAGCCAGCTGATCGCTGCCGATTGTGACGTCACGAAAGTGGGCGGAAACAGCAGCCGAATCTTAGAGCCGAACTGCGATTGGTATTACTTTGGCACATGTATGCGATAATCGCCATTGTGCGGGCATTCGGAACATGCCATCTGTGTAAGAGCCTTATTTTGTTGGTGTCAATAGGCAGCTGGCACCGTCCGCCAGCGGGTACGTATTTTGAACGCCCTCTGGAATACGGGGAACATGTCCCTTTAAATGGGGTGTAGCATGACGAGACTATGTGTCTTTCCTGTGGCCTGACTCGGGGCCAATTGGGTATAAAAACGATTACGGACGACGCGACCACAGTATTCACGTGCATGCAACATACGCGAATCCGTAGCGTGACGAGAACTTTGTCTGTTTCGCGAACGCTAGCGCGCACTGACTGTTATTTAAGTCCATTCGTTTACGTGCAGTTGTCCAAATAAAGTCTTAGATGGCATTGAGCTAATGTTGACTAGACTGGGCTCAAGTATGTACAGATTAAATAAAAACTTTGGGTTTGTGAGGTCAGATGTCACAGGATCACTCATCCATGAACATACATACAGGGGAAGTCGTATTCATCTTGTTTCTTATAGTGCCTTAAGTTCTCTATCTGATAACACAGAGCTCAATGAATACCTATAGGGCCTTTGTTGTGTGTAGTTGTAATTCATTTACACATGGATTTATTTTTTGAATGCCTCATTCACCCATTATTAGTTATATAGGATACTGATATGAATTTTTTTTTCTTTTCACAACATTTATGAGCAAAGAATATAACCTTATCGAAAATAATATCGCTAGTGATATTCGTTTGTCTCGCAAAATGTGGTCAATAAGGAATCTAAAAGATCACGTTTCGTGCGCTGCTGCAACACTTCGTCAGGTGATAAAAACTAATGTAAACAAGCGTGTTTTATACTCTACGGGAGGACCGGCGCAGTGGTCAATAATTTGATCGATAATTGGAACAATAACGCACAAGGCCTATTGGTCGACGCACACGGTGCTTGACCAATCAATAGGCCGCTGGTTCGGCCGCTGGTTCGGCTAATGCACAAGACCTACTGGCCGACGCACACGGTGCTCAACCAATCAACGGGCCCACTGGCTGGGCCCGTCTGCTGAATGGAATCAACCGATGCTGGCCGGTTGGACGGGGAGTGATTCCTTATTGACCACATATTGCGAGACAAACGAATATCACTAGCGATATTATTTTCGATACTACATCCGCAATGAGTAATATATTTAGCAATATAACCTTTTGTGAAAGAAATATATCAGCTTATCTAGTAGTTCATTTGATGGAAACTTTTGCAGGGAGAGTGAATATTCTCTCTTCAGCTCCGCCCTGAAGGTTACCCAGAACAACGCTAAGCTGTGGAACAACGTAGGTCACGCTTTGGAAGCAGAAAGCCGCTGGGAAGATGCCTTCATCTATTTCAATAATGCCGCAATGTAAGTGTGCCATGGAGTAAAACCCTTTCCTCTAAGATATTGTGACAGATCAAGGTCTGCGTTCAAAAGAAACATAATTTCTTAAAAGCAAGACTTCTCTAGCAGTGTCCTAGGGCTAGCATCATGGCTCAGTGGTAGAGTACATTGAGCTGATGGCCATTCTAGAGCTTGAATCAGACAAAACATCAAATAAAAAGATCTTTTATGTGAGTTATCGTAAGATTTGGGTATTTAACTGTGTCGAGCTGAAAGCCCTACCAGAGCTTAAATCAGACAAAACTTCAGATTAAATAATAATTTATGTCAATTTAAAGTCACAATTCCATAATACAAACCAACAATACTTTTTAAAGCAAGGGAAATATATATACCTAGGATATGTCATTTGATAAGCTTCCAAACTAACATAAAAACAATGCGAAAACTTCATAAAGTAGTCGGCTTTACCAGAACTCATTTTGTGTCAATACAGGGTCCAACCAGATGACATAGGGTCATGGATCAACGTCGGGAGAACGTACCGTCAACTCGGTAAGCCAGCCGAGGCGGAGGCAGCATACAGGAGAGCGATGAAATTGATGCCCCAGCCCAGGAAGGGAGAGCAGTACTTGGCCCAGATTGATCCAAACCATCTCAATGTGTACCTCAACCTGGCGAACCTGATCAAGAAGAATGAGAGCAGACTCAAAGAAGCAGAAGAGGTACAATGATTATTTTAATTACCGTAATTAATGGTGTATAAACCGCCCTCGTGTATTAATCAAAGGTACTATGTCCCTTTTGCAGCCAACCTCAAATTCTGTAGAACTTTGCAGGAATTATGAATATGTCATGTATGTCCTATCTGTGAAATTTAAACGTTAGCAGTGTCCTTTCATGTATATTCAAATTATGCAAGGAAACCCATTTACTTGCTAGACTTTACTGTCAGACACTATTGTCAGTGTTGAGTGACTGACTGGCTTTTTCTTCTTCTTTGGTAATAACATACATAAAATGAGCTGTAAAGGATTTGTCTACACCAATAACCCACTTCTTGTAAAGGCCAAAATTAAACTGATTGAATCTTTGCACAGCATAAAACGTACGACCATGCAGTACAATGGTCTGAAAATCGAGACTATTATTGGCTCTATAACTCCTAAGTCGATTTGACATCTAATTGTCGTTATTTTCCCACTTAAAGACATTTTCAAGCCACATCTTTTTAAGGGGAGTTCTAAATCAGTATTATCTTTCAAATGCCATTGGAATTTAACCTTTTCATTTTTTTGGTATGCAAAAGGGACATAGTTTTGAATTACTTCATGCACTGTCACTATGCCAGCACGTTGCACGGACTTCCCAGTTTAGCTGTATGATAGCTGCCATCGGGATTATCTCTACAAGTAACAAGTAACAAGTAAGGGAGATGGTCTTCAGTTTCCATGTGCAGAAGGTCGCACACCCACTCTTTCGGCGTGAGCCATCATACACAGGGTGTCACTGTCAACTCATCACTCAGAAACTAGGACCAAACTAGCTGCCAATGTCCAGATTTCTGTTTAAACTTGGGGGAAAATTTGTCTGCCATTTTTAGTTTTAAAAACAACATTGTTACTATTATTTGTGAGAAGTTCACAAGCACAAATTGGCGCCTTCAACTGCAACTCACAGTTAAATCGTGTGTATTTTGTAGACGGACCTAGGGTGCTTCCTGGCGCCCAAAAAATTGTGATCAGAAATGTACCTTTTTTGTTGTTGCTACTCCCCCCCCCCCATCCCCCCCACTGAGCAGAATATAGGCGGCCCGATTTTCAAATATCCGGGGGCGAAAAAGAAAAAATTAGTGCTCACTACCCCCCCCCCCCCCTCCCTCCACTGAGCGAAATATCAGCCGGCACGATTTTCAATTTTCCGGGGGCAACAAAAAAGAAACCAATTAGTGCGCAGAAATCCTGGATCCGCGCCTGGGTGCTTCCTACGATGCTTGCAACAACTAAAGAAAAAAATCTGAGCAGCGCCATCTCTTGGCGACTGTTGGCGTAAACATGATTTACCGTAGCAAGGAGTTACGAGTGCCGTGCAGTATGGTGAAAAATCACCACAACACCAAGGCAAGGTATTTTATTTTTTTAATTTCACAATTTTGTTTTCCCTACCGTGTCTAAAAAATAAAGGGGTCTCTAAAAGAAAATAAAATAATAATAATTAAAAAAAAAATGGCTGTCGATTACTCGAGTATCCGCCTGTTAGCATGGGTGTGTACTCCTCAAGTGCCTCATTACACGCTTATGTATAGCCTTATCCTTAATTATCCTATCTTGAATTGCAGCTTTACCTTAAGGCGATCAGGATGCGTCCTGACTTTGTGGAAGCGAACATCAATCAAGGAGAGATTCTGCTGAAAAGAGGCCAGTTAGACGAAGCAGAGTCCCTCTACCAACAAGCGGCTCAATTAGAATCAAGTACCTCATTACATGCTTATGCATAACCTTATCCTTAATTATCCTATCTTCGATTGCAGCTTTACCTTAAGGCGATCAGGATGCGTCCTGACTTTGTGGAAGCGTACATCAATCAAGGAGAGATTCTGCTGAAAAGAGGCCAGTTAGACGAAGCAGAGTCCCTCTACCAACAAGCAGCTCAATTAGAACCACTCAAAGCAGATATACACTACAATGTAAGTTGGCTTGATGGATGCTCTTGTGTTGTTGTTGTTGTTGTTTGGTATTATCGGCATTTGATTCTTTTTAAAATTATATTTACGCCTTTCACTTTTCTTTTTTTTTTAACTATTTGTAAATTTGTACTCTTCTAAAAAGTTTTTTTGATAATATAATCTCCAGGGGGTGTTTTATAAAGCTGTTCATAAAGTTACGCATGACTTCACAAATGACTTGTATATGAAAAGCCAAATGGGATGCTCAATCATTATTAACTGTATTAACTGCAGTTGAACTGGACAGATGCAGATTAACGTTCTTATTATAACAAACATTTTTAATGCAAAGTATGTTTTTTGCCATACTTTAATTGAGGCTATTGGAAATATAGTCACATTTTGTTAAAAGATCAGGAAAAACTTTAGGCATCCTATCTGGCACTTCATGGTGATGATGATGATGATGATGGTGATGATGATGCTGATGATGGTGATGATGATGGTGATGATGATGATGATGATGATGCATGGTGGGGATAGTTTCAATGATGTTGATGACAACAGTGATGGTGATGATGATATGATGATGATGACTGATTAAAATTTGATGTTCATGATTATTATGATGATGAAGATGATGATTAGGATAGCAGTGGTGGTGATGATGACGGTGGTGGTGATGATGACGATGATAGTGATAATTACGATGGTGATGATGAGGTTTTATGATAATGGGGTTGATGATAATGATGTGATGATAATGGCGACAATGATGATGATATTGATTATAATGTTTATGATGATGGTGATACTGTTGACTTCTATTTAAACCCATTAGCACTTGACATTTCAAATTATTTGATTTTAAAATTTATGTGCTTTTGTAATTGCAGTTTTGCCTAGTGTGATAAAAAATGTAATTTCTTCCAAAACTAACATTCAATATAATTTAGGGAAACATAATTTTCTCATTTCACATCTCCCTGCAGCTTGGGATAGTAGCCATGAAAAAACGGCAGAAGCCGAAAGCACTCAAGCATTTTGATCGGGCTGTGGAGATAGATCCCAAGCACAAGATGGCGCTATACAACTCTGCCCTTTACATCCAGGAATCTGGCAATGCTGCTCGAAGGCAAGATGCTATCAAGAGGTATGTTATGTTGCAAAATTACAGTAAACGAAACTTTCAATTCCCTTTTTCTCTAGAGTAAGATTCTTTGGGACTGGACATTCTTCTTTTTTAAAGGTAATACAAAGTTTTGGTATGGGGTCATGAATTTGGTTCAGTCAGTAGAGCGTCCGCCTCACAACCGGGAGGTCGTGGGTTCGAACCCCGGCCGCCTCATACCAAAAGACTTTAAAAGATGGGAGTTGTTGCTACCTTGTTTGGCGTTCAACAATAAGGGATAGAGCAACGTCAATCTGGCGCTGCTCAGTGGCTGCCAGGCTCACGATCAATTGGGCAAAAAGAATTTCCGTTTCGGTTTAATAAAATTTGGAGTGGACTATTAGGCTATTATTATTATTATTATTAGAAGCAGACGCTCTACTGACTGAGCCAACACACCAGTACCAAATAGGGGAGGCCTTACTTTCACAGTATTATCCTTCCCCCCTCCCCCTCCCCCTCCCCCCCTCTTTGGAAAGAGGGGAGGGATGCAGCCCCCCATCCTCTGGTAATTATGCCCATTCCAAAGACCACATTTGTAATTGCCACTCACAGCGCAAAAAGGCTTAAGTTGTATTTGACAATTGTTTGTAATCTTGCTGGCACGTAGGGGTTACTGCATTAATTTCTTCCTGATTTTAGACTGCAGAAGGTGATAGAGATAGATCCAGAGAGTGAGATGAGCTATTCTACGCTAGGAATGCTAGCTGTAGATGATAATGATAACCCGGGAGCTCTTCAATATTATCAGAAAGCATTGGAGGTAAGTAAGACTATCCTTTGCAACTTGTTTCTGTATATTTCATATTTTTCCGAGGGTTCAACGGTATTTGGTCTTAATGCTGTGTCCCTTATTTTACCAAGTCTCATGAAAATATACTGAACATAATTAACAGAAACACTATCAGTATTCTTGATATTTCCTCTAATCCAAGCTTTAGTAGGACTTTTAAATTAATAAAGTTATGAGAAATACTAAAAGTTCTGATGTATTCGATAACAAAATACTGTGGACTTGCCCATACATAAAGACAGACTCAAATTATTGTTTTTTTTTGTGTATGTAATGAGATTAGGAAACAAAAATTGTATGTTGAGAAGATTAAGTTTCAGCTATATAGAAAATATCACTTAAGAGCTAGAATGACAATAAATTGTTTCATTTCATCTGAACAAACAACATTTGTTGTAAAAATGTTAAAGGTAAAGACCAGTTTTGGAAATGCCCTCCTCTCAAAAAATGAAATGGAAGCTCTTATTACCAATCATGTGAAAGAATATGTTTTGACTAATACGTGATGATACAAATTTTGCCAAGAAACCGCCTACTAATTGATATATTTGGTTAATTATTTTATCTATCCGGACTGGATAGATATAGGGTAGTCCCACAACTCTCTGTGTACAGTGCTTGTAACTTTACTCAAACTGGCCCAAAGATCTTATTATTTTGATGATTCCAGAACCTTGCAGTACACACCAATACTTATATGCTAGATGATCAACCTTTTCTGAATGATTCCACAACGTTTCTTTCACAATGCAATCGCATGACCATAACTGGTCTTTATCTTTAACTTCTGTTAGAATGTATCTATAAGTAGTACTAGAATTCAAGATTATCTGTATAATTTAGAGAAATTGTGAATGATTATCTTTGCTTCATGAACCGTGCACCTGCAAACCTGTCCAGTCCCTTTCAGCAACTCATACACAAAACACTTTCAAACACTTTTTCAGTTTAAGTTTTTACCTTACGATTTTTTTTTTTTTTTTTGAGGCCGCCATCCTTGTCAAGCTTTGCTTATTATTGCGGCCTCTTGCAAATTTCCAACAGAATAGTTCAAATAATACTTTAAATTTATGATAATATGTTATGGAAATATTAAGTTTCGTTAATATATGTACATATATTATGTAAAAAAAACATTTTGACATGAAGAAATTCTTGTTTGTTTATGTTGTATTATACTTTACATTTATATGTTCTTTGTTATTCAGTTATATTTTATTTGGAAAAAATGCAGAAATAAAATAAAATAAAATCAAATCAAATCAAAAGCAACTCCCAGAAGCTTCTGGTATCCGGGATGATGATGTGCTGTGGGTCAGTGTAAGGTGGCATGGCGAAGTAAATAATAGCATTTTCACATACATGTTAGTACTGTAATGTGTTTATTTAACCGAGGGAAATTATAGCTGACCGAAATCAATCATCAAACATGCTGCATCACGTTCAATCTAATCTCTCCAACTAAACTCAAGTAACTCAGGACAGTAGATAAGACAACCTCACTCGAAGAAGGACGGAACAGAACTAACTTTAATATCAAAAATTATAACATGTCTCTAAGTACAAATCAGGCATCATAACAAAATGTGATAAGAGAAACCAATGAGGTGAACAGGCTAGATAGATCAAAGGTGAGAGGCAAAGAGAATGAATGAGAGAAGAGAAAGTGCATGTTGCTAGGGCAGGAAAAGGCAACCATGCATAGAGAATGAGAAGACAACAAAGGGAACGGGTTGGAAGGTGAAGAAGGAAAATCGGGTGTGGCAGTAGTGCAACTGAAAGACTGCTGTAAGAAGGTGAATGAAAAGGGAACATGAGCTGGCAAAATGAATATGCAAATGAAGAATGCAAATATGTAAATGAATATGTGATGGTGGATATTAAAGGAAGAAGGTAAGAAATTTACTAACTGAAATATAAAGACAAATTCAAACTGTTACAGTACAATAGAATATGAGTGTGCACCTTGCAAGTAAAAAATACATGCCTCATGTTAGCATGTGGGACCCACACGGAGACTGCATCACACTATAGGTGGTTCAAGGTTTTAACTAAGAATTTACAGGTATTAATGGATGAAGCTCTTTTTCGTTTTCAATTTATGCTCCCAGATCAATCCTTCTTCTCGGCATGCCCTTTTCAACATAGCTATGATTCATTCGGACGACAAGCACCCTCTCCAGGCCAAACCATATCTAGAAACTCTCCTCCAGGTATGGTATATTACAACAAAAAGTGGTACTTCTACATATGAACATAGGGTTGCACAACAAATGGGCAATTCCACAGAAAATGTTCAATAACCCCAAATCATTATTTTGATGGAATGAAGTAGTGTATCACTGAATCACAATAAAACAAATTTGCAATTGTTTAATTCATTTTAAGTAAAAAAAATAAGATATATATATATTTACAAATAGATATATACCATACATCATAATTTAAAGCCCAACCGCACTACTTATAACAGGGTCACTGACAGGTGCTTATCTCATCAAATCAACTCTCAATAAACATAAGAAAAAGGGGACCATGGGGGACCAACGGTCATCAATAAGGCTTTGTTTGCTATATAGAGGGCGCAAGTAGCTATAAGTAGTGCAATGGGGCTCTTACACAGGAAGTGGTGCACATTTGAAATAAACGCCTGAGACCTACAAAGAATCTTTAAAAAGAAATTTATTTACCACATTAAAGTGTAGGATTGTATCCAGGTGCTGAGAGCAATTCCTTTTCCTTCTAAATATCTTTTTTTTTGCTACTGCTCTTATTTTTAGTTTATTTAAATATGTATTTATTTATTTATTTATTTAATTATCTATTTACTTAGTTAATTATTTATTTATTTACTTAATTATTTGTTTATACATTTGTTTGTTAATTAATTAATTTATTCATTCATTCATTTATCATCAGTAATGTTATCATCTCCATCGTTATCATCATGTCCATTAATATTATTACTATTATTATTATTATTATTATTATTATTATTATTATTAATATTATTACTATGGATCATGTCATTGATGATTGTCCGATCTACAAGTCCCCCACGGCGCTTCTGGACTTCGTGAGCTCGATGATGAGACAATCTGTTGGCTTAATAAGGATCTTCCTATCTAGATGATGTACTCCCTGATATTCTTTGCACGAACGAACGAACGATTATTATGATGTTGTTATCAGTAGTATTATCTTTTTTCCCTTTCAGCATCACCCTAACCATACCAAAAGTATGCTCCTGTTAGGTGATATCATGCTTAATTCCCTCCAAGACGTCATCAAATCTCAACAAGTGAGTATAAGTTTGATTTGATTTGATTTGATTTGATTTATTTATTTCTGTTTGATTTTCTTTTTCTTTTGCATTTTTACAAATATATAACAAACAAATATTGCAAATTTACACATGACAAAAGAATATATGTAGAATAAAGTAAGGCTGGCTGTAACTAATCATGATGAAACACCCCCCCCTGGATGTGGCTATTTGTTATGCCAAATTAGAGGACAATTTGATAGTTCATTCACATACATTTGTGTTAAGTTCTTATCCTCCTTATATCACGTTGCACTTACAATGCCTGCAGGATCAGGGTGCTTCATAGAATACAGACTTTAATTCCCTTTTTCTCTAAATAATATTCTTTGGGACTGGACATCCTTCTCTGTAAATGGGGTTTTAAAAATCCATTTGTGATGAGTTAAATATCACTTAAAGCTGAGAACCTCCTCTATTAAAATCATACTTAAATTTAAAAAAAATTAAAAAATCTGGCGTCATTTTGGTGGTTTGGTGGTGTTGGGTCACAAATAATGTCAATAAACAAAAAAGAATGAAAGTATGTTTTCTCAAATAAAATACTTTTTCATCAGTTGTTTCAGCGGATAGTGGACCTAGAACCTTCCAACGTCCAGGCCCAGCATAACCTCTGCGTCATCATGGTCCAGAAAGGTCTATTCATGGAGGGTGAGCAATGTCTGTTGGACGTCCTAGAGAGGGCGCCACATGCAGAATTTGTGCGGACCAACCTGAGCATCCTGAGACAGAAGATCAAGGAAAGATCAACGGCGAAGCAAGAGAAGGAACCGAGCAGCGATACGGGCGTTAGGTGACGGATCATGTGAAACAGTTTCGTCAAAGATTCCAGTGTGCTTTATTTCCAGAGCCCCGTTTACATATGCTGCGATAAACTGCCGCAGCGGTCTTCCGCCGAGATGGAATAAAATGAGATAAGCCTAATTAATCAGCCTCAAATTTTTGTACCTTTAATATACAGATAAGAGATTACCCGCTGAACCTGAAGCTACAATTTTTATGCCTCCGCACAAAGTAGCTGGAGGCATTATGTTTTCAGGTTGTCCGTCCGTCCGTCTGTCTGTCTCGTCCATCTCGCTTAATCTCAAAAACCAATTGACGGATTACTATCAAACTCAAGACATTTATGTATCTAGTAGAGCCAAAGAACCGATCAGATTTTGGGGTCACGAGGTCTTAGGTCACAGGGCTCATTATGTATGCATAAATATCTCATGATCACATTATCATTAGGACCGATTGACGAATTACTATCAAACTCAAGACATGTATGTATCTTGCAGAGCCAATGAACTGATTAGATTTTAGGGTCATGAGGTCAAAGGGTCATACATGTCTATGAAAAATAGTGTGTAATCGCATTATCATTACAACCGTCGGATGGATTACCATCACACTCAGGACATGTATGTATCTTGCAGCGCTAACAGACTGATCAGATTTTAGGGTCATGAGGTCAAAGGGTCATACATGTATATGAAAAATAGCTTGTAATCAAGATATTCTGAGAACCTATTAATGGATTTTTTAACAATTTTAAAAATTGCTTTGGTGTTGGTTTGGAAAAAAACGCTCTATGGTGGAGGCATCATTTTTCGACTGAGCGCAGTTGAAGATCTATCTAGTTTAAAATGAGATGAGCCCAATGCGCTCCACATTTATGCACCTTATAACATACAGATAAGAGAGTACGCTTTGAACATGTGTTGTTGTTGCAGCCACAATGTTTTTTAAAGAGATAAAAGTGTAATGTGCTATACATTTCTGTACCTTATAGAGTACCGAAGCTGTGACGTCATAAAAATCTATTTTTAGAATTTCTCAATTTTTTCTTCATTTTCCGAAAGAGCATCAAAAATAATGTCCAAATGTTGAAAATCAATTGAATATGTTAAGTTTTGGCTGAGATATGACCATCTGAATGAACATATTTCCCATATGCTCTGGCTCCTAATGGTTAGGAGCCAGAGCATATAACACCGAGTTCCCATAGGCAATCTTTTTATTCAGATGGTCATATCTCAACCAATACTTAACATATTCAATTGGTTTTCGACATTTGGCCGTATTTTCGATGTTCTTTCGGAAAATGAAGAAAAAAATTGAGAAATTATAAAAATAGATTTTTGATGACGTCACACTTCACCACTCTATAACATGCAGATAAGAGAGTACACATTGAGCATGTGTTGTTGTTGCAGCCACAATTTTTTAACACCGCTTGCCTTCACTTACACATGAAAAAGATACTGCCGCAGTTTATCCCATTATATGTGAACGGACTTTTGATAAATGTTACTGAAATAGAATGATGTGTTCAGAAGATGCTAATGAAGTACTACATCAATGATGCATATAGTTTTTATAGATCAGAAGCCCGTTTTATTTTATAATCTTGTTTGAAATCCTGCTTACTGGTGCCAATTTGGAATTTTACCATCATGTAAAAGTAATTTGTATTCTCCACTTGATATCAAAGTGGATGTGCTTTTTATATCGTTAGATTATTGTATGATAAAATCGAGGCAAATTTGTGCGATTGGTTTGCTCTTGTACATGTTATTTACTATGCATATTGGTTTGTATTTATGATGAATATCAAAGGTATTCAAACAGAGCTATATAGTGCTGCCTTAGGCACTGAATTTCTTTGTCGACATGTCAATATAATATAACACTGTGTCAACAAATCTCCTGTTTTTCTTTATTTTCTTTAGAGCTTTGACTATAGGTGAAAGAACCTTTCAAAATATCTGCTGAAATTTTTAGTATTGTATTTTACTGTTCAATAGCAGTCTGCTGTTTTTGTACTCTAAGTTTTAAACATTGATACAGATCTATCTATCTATCTATGTCTCATAGCTTGGAGGCCATTGGGGCGACAATGAACTGTGTACAGCTGTTAACTGCTCAAGTGACATACCCGTCCACTGCTTACTGTTATCAGTCCATGGGGGTGTCCCACAAAGACTAAGATCGACTTGAAGTTAGACTTAACTATGGCAGGCCATTCATGCCACTAGTTCCTCTAACCATTCCTGGCATTGGTCATTCAAGGGACGTATAAATCGTGGTCACAAATCTACAAAATTCACATTTTTTAATAGTCCATTATTGAAGGAAAAAATATGATCTAAAGATCATATAATTGAGAGACCAATAGTGAGAGCAACCAACGGCATGAATGGCCTGCCATAGTTAAGTCCAACTTAAAGTTGATCTTAGTCTTGGCGAAACACCCCCATCTCCTATTTTGCCTGCCCCTCTTTTTCTTCTCCCATCAATCCCTCCTTGCAAGATGGTGTTTGCCAAGCTATATCACAATTGTGATGAGGGGATCCTGCTCCCCCATATAACTCCCCATTATCTCTCTCACTTTTTTATGCCTCCGCTACAAAGTAGCCGGAGGCATTATGTTTCCTGGTTGTCTGTCCGTCCCTTTCTCATGATCACGTTATCTCAAGAATCGACTACTGGATTCCTACCTAACATTGGTTATTTGGTCTTGTTGATAGTTTAGGTGTTTATTTGGGGGGTCAAAATAGTTGAATTATAGTTAGAAATGAAATAAAACAACACAAACAATAAAATGCATGAGTTAAAAAAAAGAAATACATTAGAAATTATCATAACAATAGATAGCATAAGGAATAACCTGGCTTTTCCAAAAAAAAAAATTGGGTATTATTATCCCAAATGGTCTAAAGAATATATGTAGTGAAAACTAATGTTTGAATATGAAAAAGATTTAAGGTTCAACATTTCTGTTGACATGCAAAGACTCGTCAACCATGGCACTTGTGTTGTGTCTTTCAAATGTGTATATTAAGCGTTTTCTCCTTCACTGTGAGATATAGATGTATTTAGGATGAACACTACACAATCATATTATGTTATTGCGGTTTTAAAATTTATTGATTTAAAAATTTTAGAAATGAAAACAAAACAGATATCATGGGAATCAAATCAAAGCAAATCGAATCAAAACAAAATTGATTTCAAAAAGTAAAAATATATGGAGTGAAATAAAAAGAGAAAGGAATCATATGAATATTATTCATTGTTGACCATCTCATTTGAGGAATGCATTTATTTAGAATTAAATATACAATTTTTAGACTGTCTTCATTGTCTTTATTTTAATGTTTTTCGTTTTGTTTATTGTTCATCATTTGTTTATCATTTGTTTTACTCTTTTTTTTTATAGATATTTAGGTAGGCTGTAGTTAAGGTCTAGCATGATGCGGAAACAGGATACTGAGTGAATTGAACTAATTAACCGAAAGGAAAGTAGAGAGAGAAAGAGAGAGGGGGAGAGAGAGAGAGAGAGGGGGGGGGGGGGGGGGAGAAAAAAGAAGATCTAGTTGGAAAATCAAGGGGCCACATAATTGTGTTTATGTGATGATACAGTCAAACCTTTCTTAGTGGCCACCTCTCTCTATAGCGGCCATCTATCTATATAGTGGTCGTGCATTTTGTATTCCTTAAGATAGATAGGCCTATACGTGTAGAACCTGTCTAGAGAGGCCACTTTTTTGTTTCCTTTGGGTGGCCTTAAAGGGATTGGGTAACAGATTCTGAACCAAAATCCTGGATTTAGCTCATGCTGCATCGATAATTATAAACGTTTAGGTCAGTCAGGAACCCCATGACTTTTACCAGCCGATCGCCTGTCTGATTATCAATATATTATGATTTGAAATCGAAATTAAACAACAAAAAAAATCGTTTTCCTAACGGTTTTGATAACACTCAGGCTATTGGGGAAAATGAGTATGGTAAAAACCGGTCACTCAAAGATTGTTACTTTCTTGAGACATTGATCAATCTGAAGCGCACTTTTTTAGGGCTTCAATATTACACCATATATCACAGGCAATGATAACATGTAGGGCCATGCATCTCAGATTTCATTGTTAAACGATGCCTTTAAAGATGACTGAAGTTGAGTTCTGGTCATGCGATTGCATTGTAAAAGAAACGTTGTGGAATCGATCAGAAAAGGTTGATCATCTAGCATATAAGTATTGGTGTGTACTGCAAGGTTCTGGAATCATCAAAATCATATTAAGAAATTTGGCCAAGTCTTGGTAAAGTTACAAACACTGTACACAGAAAGATGTATATGGGACTACACGAACATGTGGCGTAAAAAACCTACCCCCGAGTTTTACGATGTTACTGACATATTTAGAATATAAAGGCATTTGAAGAGCCATGCTTTTCAGGGAACATGTCTTATCTGATGATCTTCCACACTTGCATAACAAGAATTATTACGCTCACAAATTATTTTTCACCTCTTCCCAAAACTCAACTTCTCTTTAATGACAGGTTTGACTGTGTTGCAATGTATCAGATTAACTCAAATGCATATTTATTTCTGATATGTATTCAGTTTCATATTTTACCAAACGTATACGTAGTTCTCCCTGATTTCCTGATTTATATTTTTTTCAGTAATTTTATGTTGACAAAAAACTGGCAATTTATTTTGTTTGAATAATTAAGCAGAAAGGGAATTTTCGTGATATGCATGGTCAATAACGCATAAAAATGGTTAGACATGAAAAAATGATTAAGATGAGAAAACGATTTTTGGAATGTTGCTAGTCATGAAGACAGTACCCCTTCTCTGGTAAATCACCCTTTTCAGGTACGAGAAGTTACTTCTTCTCACTTCAAATAAAAGGAGAGGAAGAGGAGGAGGAGGAGAAGAAGAAAAAGAAGAAGAAAAAGAAGAGGAAGAAGAAGAAGCAGAAGAAGAAGAAGAAGAAGAAGAAGAAGAAGAAGAGGAGGAAGAAGAAGCAGAAGAAGAAGAAGAAGAAGAAGAAGAAGAAGAAGAAGAAGAAGAAGGAGGAGGAGGAGCAGAAGAATAACAAGAAATGAGAAGAAAAAGATAATCATATTCACAACTTATAAACATAACATACCACAAATATCAACTTGGGTGACTTTTTCACTATCTGTAATATTTCATAATAATTAATACCAACGTTTTCTTACAATACCTTGGTAAAACAACTAGACAGGAAAGACAAAATTACCTGCTGGATACTATTAAAGGGAAAGTCCACCCCAAAAATAAGTTTGTTTCGATAGAGGCAGAATAATAAGAAAATCAGGTGAGTGAAAGTTTGAGCAAATTCTGAATGAAAATAAGAAAAGTTATGAATTATTGAAGTTGTGATCAATCAAATACAAATTGGCAACTCTGTGACTTATTATACGAGCTCTCCTTCATTTGCTTTGTGCATAATATTCCATAAAATCATGTTTTCTTCGTTATTGATGACGGAATATAAATTTGTTCCTTGCAGGGGAAGTATAGAAAACATATTTGCAATTATTATATTTAGGGTGCATGTATGGTTGAAATTTTTCTTGAGGGAAAATGAAAATTTTAGATTTTTTTAGTACTGAGCAAATGGAAGTTAAGCTCGCATAATACGTCATAGAGTTGCCAATTTGTGTTTGATTGATCACAACTTCAAAAAATCCTAACTTCCTTATTTTTAATCGGAATTTGCTCAAACTTTCTCTGACTTGTTTCTCTCATTTTTCTACTCCTATTAAAAATAATTTCAGGGTGGACTTTCCCTTTAAAGAAAGGGCGAGATAGGAAAAAAAAGTCCAGAAGATTACTTTACAAAACAATTTAGTGGAGATTTAAGGTCATTGATCCACCCTTTAACAAAAATATGGCAAGATGGAGAGAGAGGGAGGCAGAATGTGAGAAATAGAAAAAAAGTTTGATACAATTTAAAGTTCATTTTCAAAGGAAGCAGACAAAAAACAAAAACATAAAATCAGATATTTTGGGAAAAATCAAAATACTATATATTACATTGCGTTTCATGTAAATGTCTGCACGATTAAATGAAATAAATGACAAAATAAACACAATTTATATATGTATATTACAAATGGAAGATTTAATGTACAAATATATACAGCTGAATAATAAATGCATTATGCATGATGTATTTACATGTCCACTCCATCACTTGTGTATAACATTGATAGGAAATAGTAAAAAATGACATTTGCTCCTGCTACAATCGATCTGCGTCAATTAATTCTATCCACAGATCAAATTGGCAACTTCAACCCCAGACCCAACATAAGGCCATTACAAAAAATGTACATGTTTAGCGTCCCCGTCCGCTTCCTTTTTGGGGGCCGCCTCCTTTTTTTTTTTCCCCCAAATTTTTTCAATTTTTTTTTAAAAAGAAAAAAACACATGAAAAACACTGCTAATATGGATCTATTTCTAATAAAAAAAAAAGAAAATCTTGAAAAATAGCCCGACTGTCATGGAAAATTCACCGAGCGGCCATTTTGAAAAAAAAAGAAAAAAAAAGGGCTTCCTCCTTCCTATTTTTCCAAAAAACAGGATGCTATTTTTTTTTTTATTTGGCCTATTAAACACCTGACCCTAAACCCTAGCTGGCTTGCCTGCTAGCATACAGCTATTAAAGCCCCACTGCACTAGTTATAGCTACTTGCGTCCTCTATATAGCAAACAGTGTCTAATTGGCGACTGTTGGTCCCGCCCCCCCCCCCCACTCAGTGTTATTTAGGGTACGCATATGCATGTTCCCTCCTTTTGAAAACACCTCCCTAAGTCCGGTGTGTAAAGTCAATACGGCCCAGATTTTTGTGTACTATGAGCTGGACTTTGGTGCGTAAAAAGTACCCCTTTGTCAGACATTTTGGGAACACGCATGGTATCCCTCCGTTCACGTTCATGGAGTGGGGGGGGGGGGGCGGGACGTTTAATCCCCCTGGCTAAACTAGTGTAGACAGGCTTTAAAGCAAGCGGGAAATGAGCTAGAAATATGCCACCGATATTCATTGATGAAACACAGACACATATTAGCGATGTCTCATGACAAACATATGAGGACGCTCAATATTAAATTTGTTGATCTGCTGTTACGTTAGTCTAAACTTTGCTTTCAAAACTTCATTTAATTTCTCTTTTTTAAAGGTAAAGACCAGTTTTGAAAACGCCCCCCTCTCAAAAAATGAAATGGAAGCTTTTATTACTAATCATGTGAAAGAATATGTTTTGACTAATACCTAATGATACAAATTTTGCTGAGAAACCGCCTACTAATTGATATATTTGGTAACATATTATATCTATTTGGACCTGATAGATATAACGCACGTGTCGCGTAGTCCCATATACATCTTTCTGTGTACAGTGCTTGTAACTTTACCAAGACTGGGCCAAATTTCTTGTGATTTTGATGATTCCAGAACCTTGCAGTAGGCCCTACACACCAATACTTACATGCTAGATGATCAACCTTTTCTGATCGATTCCACAGCGTTTCTTTCACAGTACAATCGCATGACCATAACTGGTCTTTATCTTTAAGATAGTAAATGAGTTTTACTATCTCTGACACTTTCAGATGTGATTAATTATACTCATAGCAATAGGATTTTACACCATTTAGTCCATTTTGAACTTATTTTCTAAAATTTTGCAACGCTACAAAATCCCTTTAATTACAACTGCTACCCTAACCCTATTCCTTTGACAAAATAAAGCCTGGAGAGAATTGTCACAGGAGCATATGGGAGATCAACGGTCATGCGATTCATGATTTTTTACCAGATGGTACGTGTCGTACTATCAAGCATATACTTCTGTCCAAATTGCATAAATTACTCTTTAAATGCATATGAAATGAGTCTGTTATCGAAAATATTAAATATATTGCTGTGCATATGCGCAAAAAAAAAAAAATGAGAAAAGGGTAATTGCTGCTGGTTGATTCAAGTGACGCATTTATGGCAAAACAATAAGGAAAAAGCTTACGTTTGTTGAGCTTGCTTAATGCATTTAGAGTATCCCTTGCCTGGACTCATGTTTTCATTCACTCTACAACTTGCAACGGTTCATATCAATAATAGCCATTTTTAAGCAAGTAATTTCAATAGGGGGTATTACTTTTAGACCTTCTTTAGGAGATATTTTTTGAGGAGGTTAAACTTGTTTAGAGGGTAAATTTTTTCAAGAAAATAGCTTGATAAATCTAGAAAAGGGTGTGATTTCGACCAATGAACAAAACTTGTTGAGTAGGTTTCGGAAGAAAACCTGTGACCTTGCTTGTGTACACAATATATTCTGACTCCCCCCCCCCCCCCTTCCTAGGATTCCAAGCTCATTGGTGTAAACAGAAATTGTTCATGGAGCAAGTATAAACTGAACATTTTTAGTACAACCACGCTTTTCTCTAGAATCTCATACTATACTACTCCGTTTTCACCTCTTAAAATACCTTTTAAATTCAGATCTACTATACTGTGTTACTCAGTACGGGAGCCTATTCACAAACAAGCTATGCTTTTTATTTAGGCTCCCCACATTTTACATTGTTTTACCTTGCCTGTTACATCTACATATTTCGAAATTTTCGTACTTACTTTGCGTACATTATACTCGATTTGATATCTGTAATTTTTTCTTTTTTTTCTTGTGTGAAATCTACTCTTATATAATATACTCTTGTATAAAAAAAAAGAAAAGAATATAAACTGTTTTTAATGCAAAATGTGGAATAAATAAACTTTAAACTTTAAAAAAAAAATCATTTGGCCTCAACGGCTGCTTCAACCAAGTCCCACAGATAGTTTGTGGTAAAGAACTTGGAATGCTGTTTGCAATCTAGCGAGAAGGGCCTGACGTCCTTTGAGGTGCTCACATCTGATTTCAGGAGAAAAAAAAAAAAAGTCAAGGAATTTTTCCATTCAAGCATCCTAAATCGAATGCTAATTTACATATGAAAACACATCTTTTTTTAATTAACTGTAAATCTAAGCATATCAGGAGCTCTTGTAGCGCAGTAGCCATATACTTAATGTTGGATAGTTTCTGCGCTCTATATATGTATTATTATTATTATTATTATTATTATGATACATATTTTTATCAAAACTTGGCAAAAGGGAAAAAAAAAGAAAAAGAAGAGAAAACAAAACCAAACCAACATTAGTAACAAAGAGGTTGACATTTGCATTATTATACTTTTATTTGATATCATTTGTGAACCTCTTTAATTCCTTTTGTGCACACCTAAATAACATGATCATTAAATTCCAGGAAAAATTCTAAATCCAATGTTAACCTACATCAAATATTCTTTGTATTTCTTTATATTGCCTTGGCAGACACTAGTGAAACTAAAGATTTATGAATAATATCTACCATGTTTACCATATCTACCATCTACCAAATTTGAGTGTTGTTCTAGTTTCCGAGTGGCGAGGTAACACACCGATTACTGAGCTGGGAGACATTGCCAGGCATAGCGCCAGGTGGAGGGGCATAAATCGAAACTTAAAAAAAATAAAAAATAAGACGCACCCCGAATTTGAATTTTTTCGGCGGCAAAAAAGTGTGATTAATACAACATTAATTACGGTAATCATAATGAATAGGACATCATTGCAAAGAGAAATACACGTAAAGGATTACAGAGTAGTAACTAAAAAGAATGATAAAGTTTCCTGAGCTCCTTTGTAAATTTACATATGAATCTATTCAGGCGCGTACGCAGGATTTTTTCAAGGGGGGGGGGGGGTTTTAACATTTATAAATTGGTCCGAAAATTTCGCAACGACTCAGCCAGCCGCTGGGGGGGGGGGGGGGGGGGGGGGGGGGGGGGGGGGGGGGGGGGGGGGGGGGGGGGGTAAGAGGACACTTTTTTTTTTTTTTTTTTGGTCTCGAAATTTGGAAATTTGACATTTTGCTCCGTTGGGGAGGGGTAAGGTCACCTTTTTAGGTCGGCCATGGGAATATTTTTTTTTTTTTTTTTTTTTTTTTTTAATTTAAAAAAAAAAAAAAAAAAAAAAAAAAAAAAAAAAAAAATCCAAAAGGGGGGGGTTTTAGGTTTTTTTTAGGGGGGTTTACACAAAAAAAATTTCCAAAGGGGGGGGGGGGGGTTTAACCCCCCAAACCCCCCCCCCCTGCGTACGCGCCTGAATCTATTATTCAATCTATATAATTATCTACCCATCTAGCAGTATCTATCTATCTATACAATAGTATATACTTATTTATCTATTTGACAGTATCTACCTATTTTATCTATCTATCTATCTTTCATCTAATAGTATCTATCTATATATCTAATATTATCTAGCTATTTATTTTATCGATCTTTCTATCCAATAGTATATATCTATCTGATATTATCTTTCTATCTATTTTATCTATCTATCTATCCAATAGTATATATCTATCTATCTAATAGTATATATATATATATATATATCCATCTATCCAATATTACCAATCTATCTATCCATCTATGTAATAGTAAATATCTATTTATCTATCTATAAACCTATTTACATCCCTTTCTAACCATCTAGTATCTATTATAAGATGATGACGTGAATCCTAATCAAATGATTGGTTGAAAGCATACACGTGACCAGGCATTTATTTTGTCTAACCCGTAATTTGGATAATGACCGGTCATTATCAAAATCATGTTATAAAAACATCATGGGGCCCTTATTTGGGCCCACACTTGGTGTCTTCAAAACAGTCCAGACTGTTCCAAAGGTACCTCGTGCGGGCAATTCTTACTAATGCCCTCACTGCTGTGTATTATTTGTATACTAATCCATTCAAACATTTGCAAATTTCAAGGATACATCCTTTGATTTCGTCTGGTTTGCAATCGTAGTCCCACTTGATGCCTGTGATGCAGCTATAGAGACTGACATTATATCTGATTTTAAAAAAAAGAGAGGAGAAAATGAAAAGTGAAACACATATAAAAGGATGGCAGAACACAGTGAAAAAAAATAGCCCCCAAAATGCCCAAAAGAGCCCCTGTAAATTTGCATAGAGTTCAATGCAAAACAAATTTTAGAGTTTTAATTTCATGCAGGCAAGTTTGAAAAGTAGCCCCCCCCCCCGAAAAAATAAATGTTAATTTTTCCCCTGGCAGAACACAATGTTAATCTTTTCATAAAAACAAAAGGAAAACAATTAAAAACAAACAAAGGAAAACAAATAAAAACAAACAAAGAAACTAAATAACCCCAAACAAACAAGAACAGCAGCAGCAACAACAACAGATTATAATTTTTGTAATATGTAGTAAACCTTATGTGAAACAAAAAATATGGGCCTGTTGCATAACACTTACGATTGATGGTAACTTTGGCCATCAATGGTAACTACCATGGTAACAGGGCTCAACAGCCAATCAAAATCAAGGTTTCCATGGTAGATACCATTGATGGCAAAGTAACCATAAATGGTTTTGAAGTTTTGTGCAACGGGCCATGGTCTTTATATATAAAATTATACTAAAGTGATCTATATGTACAGGTTCCTTTCATATGATGGGGATAGAATGTTCCATGGAAACAAAAAATATGGTCTTTACAGTCATGCGGTCTTCTCCACTGCAAGTCACTATCAAAAGCAAGTTAAAATCGCATGTAAGAACTGACTACAAACTTTATAAATTTTTGTTAAACAAAGGTTTGTTTAAAATATAATAGGGGGGAGGGGGTGAGGGAAAAATGCCCTCTTAATGTAATGACAGCATTAATCTTCACATAACCTGGAAAAGCAAATAACTGTACCAGTGAAAAATTACATGGGGACTCGGGGCAAATTAGCCCCTAATATGCTAAAAAAAGCCCCTGAAAGTCATAAAAGAGCCCCCAAAAATTTGCATAGAGTTCAATGCAAAACAAATTAAAGAGTGTTATTTTCATGCAAGCAAGCTTGAAAAGTAGCCCCCCAAATTGTTAAAGTATTTTTTTCCCTGAACTGTAGACAATCTTACATGTGGATACTTTCCAGAAAAAAATGAATTGTACAACCCAATAAGCCAGTTCATAGATATAATCTGCGCATGGGCAGATAAAGGTCATTTGTACCAAAAAGGTAAAACCCACAGAGATGAATACTGGATAATGCGCTCATGAAAGTTATGTAACATCATTCATTTATGCACCAACGGTACATTCTATGATACGCAGGTGGAAGTGGACTTTGGCAGTTATTATTCTAAGATGCTCAAAGTGGAACTTCTCCATGTTTAAAAGATCTGTGGATATTTGGGGTCATTTGTACCATGTGCTATCTGTAAACTCCCTTATAGATTAAAACTAGAAACCCATGCATGCATGAATAAGATGCATGAATACCTACTGGTATCATAACAAATAAAGTGAAATATGAGATTGGTCACTTTCTTTATAGACAATTTAGCCTCGTGATTCAGAAAAATAAAAATCATTGCATGCATATAGAGGATTTTTTTGAGAAGCATAGTAAACTTGACCACTTAAAGGTAAAGACCAGTATTGGTAACGCCCCAATTTAAAAAAATGAAATGGAAGCTCTCATTACCAATCATGTGAAAGAATATGTTTTGACTAATACATGATGATAACAAATTTGCCGGGAAACCGCCTACTAATTCATATATTTGGTAAATTTATTTCTCTCATGGTCGTGTGAGAGAGATAGGGTAGTCCCATATACATCTTTCTGTGTATAGTGCTTGTAACTTTACGAAGAATGGGCCAAATTTCTTATCATTTTGATGATTCCAGAACCTTGCAGATGCTAGATGCTAGATGATCAACCTTTTCTGATCGATTCCACAACGTTTCTTTCACAATGCAATCGCATGACCATTACTGGTCTTTACCTTTAAAGGTAATTAGACAAATTGATAACTGTAAATTGATGACAATTCTACACATTGTCAAAGAAGGAACTAAAAACAAATAATTTCAAAAGTGTTATCCTTGGGAATAACAGCATACATGAAACCTTCTTTACAAAGAGAGAGAAAGTGAGGGAGAGTAAGAGAGAGAAAGAGAGTAAAATAAAGAGAGAGAGAGAGAGAGAGAGAAGGAGAGAAAGAGAGTAAAATGAGAGAGAGAGAGGAGAGAAAGAGAGTAAAATAAAGAGAGAGAGAGAGAGAGAGAAGGAGAGAAAGAGAGTAAAATAAAGAGAGAGAGAGAGAGAGGAGAGAAAGAGAGTAAAATAAAGAGAGAGAGAAGGAGAGAAAGAGAGTAAAATAAAGAGAGAGAGAGAGAGAGAGAGAGAGGAGAGAAAGAGAGTAAAATAAAGAGAGAGAGAGAGAGAGAGAAGGAGAGAAAGAGAGTAAAATAAAGAGAGAGAGAGAGAGAGAGAGGAGAGAAAGAGAGTAAAATAAAGAGAGAGAGAGAGAGGAGACAAAGAGAGTAAAATAAAGAGAGAGACAGAAGGAGAGAAAGAGAGTAAAATAAAGAGAGAGAGAGAGAGAGAGAGAAGGAGAGAAAGAGAGTAAAATAAAGAGAGAGAGAGAGAGAAGGAGAGAAAGAGAGTAAAATAAAGAGAGAGACAGAGAGAGAGGAGAGAAAGAGAGTAAAATAAAGAGAGAGAGAGAGAGAGAGAGAGAAGGAGAGAAAGAGAGTGAAAAGGAAAAAAGAAAGAACATAATGTGACAATTATCTTGAGGTTTTCCAAGGTGTACATACATGTAAACAGTGCAGTGAATTAAAAATAGAAATTTCAATCCAAAAGAAAAGAGAACAAATACACACAAACAGAGACAAAAACAGGCGCAGACTAACCTCGTTTTGGGGAGAACTTGTGTCGTATCTTCTTTCACCGTCTCTCTCTTCTGACTCAGCGCCTCCTGTTCGGCATGCATCTTTTCTCGTTCTTCGTTCAATGCTGTGAAGAAATGGCTCGTTAAGGATCAGAACAGAGTGCTTTCATTAAATACTTTGATGATGATGATGATGATGATGATGATGATGATGATGATGATGAACATAATACTAATAATTGTGATAATAACATCAATAATAATAATAACAATAATAATATTGGTGATAATAATGATATTAATAACAAAACAAAAATACTTTGATGATGATGAATGATGATGAACATAATAATAATAATAACAAATGATATTAGTAATAATAACAAAACAAAAAAATACTCTGATGATGATGAATAATGAACATACAATGTATTTGTGATAATAATGATAATAATAACAAATGATATTAGTAATAATAACAACAAAAACAATAACAATAATAATAAATATAGTACTACTACTCCCTAATACTATTTACAAAATAATGCTATTTTATAAGAGATGATGATGATAGTTATGGACAAATGCCACAGCAAACACGATAATAGGAATCTCTCAAGGCAATACAGGTGCATCAGGAATACAGTCTATTGTGTATACCTTTTCAGGAGAAGAGAGGAATCTATGTTTCGTAACTAGGCCTAAAAAAAAAGATGTTGTATTGCCCTTTGCGACCAACCCCAAAATCTTGAAATCTACGGTCAGCTTTTAAATTTTTTTTATTTTTTTTAAACCGTTCTTTAAGAAAAAAAAAAGTATTACGGTAAAGCATTCAAAACAGAGAAATATCACCACAAAGAGGGACTAATAAAAAAAAAAAAAAAAAAAAAATGTTTTGGCATCGAAAGGGCAATACAATATATTTTTTTTAAAGGTCCTATATAGTTTAAAGGCAGCAAAATAGGAACCATTCCTCCAAAATAGGAATGCTATGATAATGATAAGAAAGGCCCTAATTCATCCGTTCACCTTTCGTTTCTGAATTACGAAAAACACCAAAAAACATCAAATTTACAAGGGGCATGAATAAGTTTAGTATACAAATAATACACAGCAGTGAGGGCATTAGTAAGAATTACCCACACAAGGCACCTTTGGAACAGTCTTAACTGATTTGTAGGTACCGAGTGTGGGTAATTTTATTAATGCCCGGAACAAAATGATGTGTATTATTTGTTTTATAAGATTATGTTCTATTTGTTTTATAAAATGATGTTTTATAACATGATTTAACTAATGACCGGTCATTATCCAAATTACGGGTTAGGCAAAATAGATGCCTGGTCACGTGTATGCTTTCAACCAATCATTTGATTAGGATCCACGTCATCATCTTATAATTGTTATTACCGTACTGTACGTGTAAAAAGTGTAATAATAGTATTCCTTGTGCAGAAAAGGATATTGACATTGTTCCTTGGCTGCCTCAGATGTCTGCAATGCTTTCTGATGCTGTGTCTGTAGTAGGTTGATCTCTTCACCTATCGCATCAGCGGACTTATCTTCAGCTATCACAGACTCCATGTTGTCTTTCATCGACATGTAAGCTGAATAGAAGGGCGAGTATAGAAAAGATTTTTAGAAATATATCGTGAATTAAAGATAAAGACCAGTTATGGTCATGCGATTGCATTGTGAAAGAAAAGGTGTGGAATGGATCAGAAAAAGTTGAGCATGTAGCATGTAAGTATTGATGTGTACTGCAAGGTTCTGGATTCATCAAAATCATAATAAATTTGGCCCAGTCTTGGTAAAGTAACAAGCACTGTACACAGAAAGATGTATATGGGACTACATGTACACAAATGGTGTCGGGGTTACCTACCTTGATTTCCTTATTTTTCTATGCTCATTATTCAGCCAGTTTACATTTTCTACCACAATTGTTTGGCAAATAACATTTATTTGTAATCTTGAACATTCAGTGTAAGTTTCTGTTTGATTCTGTGAGAAATCATTTTCTTTTTTTTTACCAGAACTCAAGTTTATCTTTAAGGACAACAATCTACCGGTAAATTGAGACAGCTTCTTTGCAGTTCAAAATAACCTTGAAAACATTGTGTCATTGTCTGATTACTAATTCATACAACTGACAAACTCACTGGGTCCACACCAAAGAAATACGGTTCATAATTTTACCTAATCTTTTGCGGGTTGTGTACAAGTGGTGGATGTTGACATAGATAATGCTAACAAAGTTTTTCCTTTTCTTTTTTCTTTTTAACAAACTCATTACCATCATTATCAACATAAATATCTCCAGGATGGTGATGAGGATGGTGATGAAGATGGTGATAATGATGATGATGATGCTGCTGATAATGACCACAATAAGATCATTTTCCTTGTACATTTAGAGTATATCCTTGCATTGATGATAATGCTGAATTCGATTGAATATCAACCTCATTGTCATTTTTATTGCTCCTGTTATCAACATCAACATCATCATCCTTAAAAATCGTCAAGAACCTCACTGTTCATAATAACAAACATCACCAACATCTTTGATCTCCATCATCCTCATCATCATCGTCAAAATCCATAACACCACCTCTATCATCATTACCATCACCATACCATAGCAACCATAATCATCATTGTCATCACTGCCATCACCATCATCATTATCATAAGAAGGCGCGATAGCTCAGTCGGTAGAGCAGTGGTCTGGTATTCCGATGACCCGGGTTATAAACCAAGTCAATGCGCTATTGCCCTTTGGTAAGGCATTAATCCTCATTAACAGGTCCCTCGGAGAGGACTTAATGCCGTCGGCCATCTGGTTGCTTACTAACAAGCTTTTATGCTTTCTCAGCAGTCAGGTAAAATAACCACCACCACGAATATTCTTCTTCCTATAATCACCATCCTATCACTATGAACATGATGGACAAAGAAAGCGGACAAAACATACGGTTCCTCAGGTAGATAAAGGAACATCCCTTCACTGCTATTATGTAAAAATGTGTAGAACAGGTGAATATGCATGTGACACCTGTTCTATACACATTTTACATAATAGCAGTGAAGGGATGTTCCTTTGTCTACCTGAGGAACTGTATATTTTGTCCGCTTTCTTTGTCCGTCATGTTCATAGTGTATTCCTCCTCCTCCTACATACCTTTGAGTACTTCCTTGATATGTAGAGCTCCCCCTGCCCCTGATGGTCTATATATCCATTAAAGGCATCATTTAACAATGTTAAATCTGAGATGCACGGCCCTACATGTTAACAGTGTCTGTAATATGGTATAATATTGAAACCCTAAACAAATCGCACTTCAAAATGCCTCAAAAAAGTAAAATCTTTGAGTGACCGGTTTTACCATACTCGTTTTCCCCAATAGACTGTAGTTTTATGAAAACCGTTTGGCAAACGCAAAATTTTGTTTCGATTTCCAATCATAAATAATATATGTTCACAATCAGACAGGCGATCGGCTTGTAAAGTCAAGGGGTTCCTGACTGACCTAAAATTTTGATCATTGCAGCATGTACTAATCCAGGATTTTGTTTCAGAATCTGAGACAAAGTTACCGGATCCCTTTAAAATCATCACCATCATTGCTGACATATCTTCCTCCTCGCCACCACCACCACCATCATTAGCATCATCATCATCACTACATGTACTCTCTTCATCATTCTCACCACCATCATCGGTTCCTCACCATTCTCGTCAACGTTGTCTTGCCTTTGTCATCATCATCATCATAATTTATCACCATCCTCCTCTTCTTCTACTACCTTTGAGTACATCCGTGATATGTGGCCTGTGGATCTCCCCCTGCCTTGCAGCCTCTTGGATCAGGATACCTATAATTGTTTTTCCTCCGCATAACCATCACCATTGCTACCATAATCATCATCACCATCACCAATATCATCATTAGGCCCAAACAAAGAAAGATGTTGTATTGCCCTTTGGGACCGACCCAAACATTTTGAAATAGACGGTCGGCTTAAAAAAAAAAAAAAAAAAATTAAAACCGTTTTTCACCCCAAAAAATTTATTAAAGCATTCAAAACTGAAAAATGTCAGCCCAAAGAGGGAGTTTAAAAAAAAAAAGAAAAGAAAAGAAAAAAAAAAGAAGAAGAAAAGATTTCTGACTGACCGACCCATGTTTTGGCACCTACAGGGCACTACAACATCTTTTTTTTTGTAGGTCTTATCATAATAGTATAAATCTTCCTCTTCCTACCTTTGAGTACATCCTTGATATGAGACCGATGGATCTCCTCCTGCCTGGCAGCTTCTTGGATCAGAATACTGAACTCCTTGATTCCGTTGACCTCTTCTGGCTGGGTCAGAATGTCATGGATGTTGTCCATGGCCGTCTCAAGCTGACCCTGGAGGAGGCAGTCCACTATACCCTCAACTGACGCCATGTTCACCATTTCAAAAGTAGATCTATGCAGAGGAACCAAATTAAAAGGGAAGCTATTATTGTGGCCAAGAATCGCTACTTGACTAGTAACAGTTAGTGAGGGGAGGTTTTGCAAAGGAACCAAATTAAAAGGGAAGCTATTATTGTGGCCAAGAATCGATACTCGACTAGTATTATTAGTAAACAGTTTGTGAGGGGAGGTTTTGCAAAACAGTTTGTGTGTGATTGCCGATCTCATCGTGCACAGCTTTTTCAAGAAAGGGGCAGATTTCTAGTAGCTGAAAGTAAGTCGCTGTATTTTGTTTATAGGATCTGATACATTACGGTAGATAAATTCACACAGGCGCGCGCCCGCCCGCAACACACCATCGTTATATGCACTTGTATTGTGTAGCGGTTTGCTCTTTGCTGTGAAACCTGTGAAAAGTGTATACCGGTAGGCCTACTAGATCTAGATCTAGATTCTATCAATGTTTTCCGAAAAATACTCCCTCCAAAACAAGAAAATTGACACAAAACAGGTAAGAAACATAATGACTTTTAAATCATGATCTTTATTTGGACATTTGATTAATATTTACTTCATTTTTGGTATGTTTTAGTAGGGTAGTCTATCTCCACGCTGGAGTTACGATCAAATTTTTGATAGGTTTCTGAACAAGCGCCAACAAATTTGTATTTTACTGCTAGTATTATTTAGCTGTCATGTCATCAATCGTCATTAAAGTACCGGGGGCCGTTTCTCGAAACCAACTCCATGACAGTCATATCTTTGTCGGCGACCTACGGAGATGTCATGAAGTGGATAAACCGTTTCACAAAGCCATGACAGACATGATATCGATATATCGCGATACTAGCAGCTCAAGAACATAGTCTTTGTCACGATCCATTTGATTTATCAAGAATAACCTAAAACAAGTTTTGGGGCTAAAATTGTTCAAAAAGAAATATACACATAAATTCTCCTAAAATAAATAATAAATAGTGTCATTATCAAATGTAGATCACCAAACGATTTGCATATTTCTGTAAAGATTCTTAAATTGAAGAAAAACAGGTGAGTGTTTTTTTTTTGACAGTCGAATGAAAAGTTAGTTGAAGGATACCGTAATGTGATAGTTTATCAATACATACTTTTTTGTTTATTGTGACAAGGAATTTTAAGGCAAAATACCTTTTCTCAGCCAGTTTTTATTCTAAAGTCTCATAAATACTTGTTATATAATTGATTTGATATTGAAAATATAATTTGGAAGAAGTAATTAGAGGGAATAATAATGCACATAGGCCCCAAAGGTATGACGGTATCCTAAGAAAAGACTATGGATCGACTATGGACAACGGTCTGTAATATTCTTATCACTCTTATTTATATGTTATAGTTTAATGATTTGTGATTTAATGTTTATAGTTCTATTCAGCTTTTTAAAATTTCTGTATAATTTGTATTAGACCTATCACTTTTTTACATTTGCATTTCGCATCCAAGAGAATTACGTACCAAACTCGTCTATATTTTTCTCAAAATGATAGTGAAACTAATCGTACATTTTGCTGCCCATGGAATAGCAACAAACTGACTTGTGATGGCGCTTTACAGCAATTAAAAAGATATGACGGGTTCGGAGCAGTGACAACTCAAACTCATTGTCGCGGAAGTTGTCGCTCATCTTGGCAAAGACGGCTTTGTGAAACACTTAGCTGACAAGTTGCGTGACAGTGGTGAGATGTCGTTGATCTTGTAGTTATGACGGTTTCGAGAAACGGCCCCCAGATTTTTAGTGAAATCAGTTGAGTTTTGTACAGTGACAGTGGTGTTTGAAATGTTGAGAATCAATAATATCACAGCCAGGCCAGGATTAAGTGACAGTTTCAGTTTACAATTCAATTCACAAACCTCCCTCCACAAACAGCAGTAATTCACGGAAGAATCCTGGATCGATGAACAGGCTTAGACCTACAACATCGTGTATTAAAGTAAATAAATAAGTTATCCACTCTTCCTCATTTGCAACTAAAGTCAAGATTCTCAAACACGAAAGTGAACAGGTGGGACTATAATGTGACATTTTTGCCTAGCAATAGCATACGATTACATTTCCTTCCTAAAATGAAGTTTATCTTCTACCTCACATCAGCCATTTGAAATGAATGACTACATTATATAAGTAGGTCTTTATTTATGTAAGTCAGAACGAAACAAAATCCAAGATAACAAATATTTTTACTTACGAAACGCCGATGTCAATATTTTTCAAGTCGGGCGCTCAGACGAGACTTAATTTCTGGAACTCTGATTGGTCGAATAACGAGAACAGAGCTCCGCCCTTCAAATCGAGATGACGAATGTAATTCGTTCTTGAGAGTCGAGAATATCATAAATGACCAATCAAAATAGTTATTTCATGGATTACCTTTAGTAGTAGCTACACGGCATACTCCATAACAACTTCCGTGTTCTGCTTAGCTGTGATTTCAGGTAGGTCCAGTTAAAATGGATATATTTTCCAGCTATTTGCAAAGATTTATTTGAGAATATAGTGAAATGAACAGGATTGATCCGGCTTCAATGTGTGTAGATGATATTTCGCAAGTTTTTTTGACTTTTATCAAATGACGATCTTCTTGTCTCGGCTCGATCTCGCTCGGCCAAGGGAAGGCACTCAGGCAACAGCACAGGCTCAGGCGCCCTGTCTGACGGCAGCTCTAAGCCAGGCCCTGCCGCATCCAGCGGCGAGCCTGCAGCCGTCAGCTCAGAAGACCGTCAGGGGGGCCCGTTACTAGAAACCGTCATAAGTCTAACTTCTTGACTAAATCAGCGTTAGTGAGCAACTTGTCCGCTACGTGTTTCACAAAGCCCTCTTTGCTAACATCAAGGACAACTTCCTGACTAGATCTAGATCTAAGCCTAACTTAGACTAAGCCAGGAGTTATGAATATGATGACGCGTTCATTTCAATTAAGTTTAACACCATCATATCTCTGTCATTTAGTCGATGGGCAGCGCCATCACTAGACCGAATTTTCTGTCTCTTTCGTTCGTTAGCCTCTGATTTGGGTAGAATTTTTGTCAGAATCGACGAAAAATATCTACACGCAGAGTTATTTTGTTTTGCTAAATTTAGCAAAACAATCGCATTGCGCAATATGCAAGCGTACTCGTGTTGCTTAGCAGTTATGCAGGTGTCAATTGTATGACCCACCCTATGGACCCCGGGGAAGGTGCGTCATGGTTGGGTCATTTACCATCAAGGTGTGACTCAGGGTACCGTCATTTTACTCCTATGGTCGGTCACAATATTGACGGTGGGGTGTGTCGATGTCGGTCACTTTACATAGGTGCGTCACTGAATAAAGTACAGTGTATTCACGGCCGCTAGCGAAGCCCGCAAGCTCGCTAGCGCGGGTGTACTTCGTGAAGTCTAGTCCAACCAAAATGCCGAGTCGGCAAACTTTGCCCCAAATATTTTGGTATTTATATTTGTTAGAATCTCGTAAGCGATTCATTATTTTGGCATTTTACTTTCAAAAAGAAAATGTCAACTTGCTCAAAGCGGGATTTTAATTTGGAGTCACCTATTAAACAAAATTGGCGCCGATTTTTTAATACACACATGTATTGCTGAAAATCAATGTGTTCTGTTGTCTTGAACTGTCTTGAACAACTTAAAAATGCCCCACCACAAGATAAAGGTTTCAATTACCCAATTGGTGGCGTATTCTAAAGTTAAGCCAACATTTGATTAAGGGATTTGGTTCAAATTTGTATAAATGTTTATATTTTTGTCGTATATTGAGCAGAATTCAAGATGGAGGCCGATGTGTCTGGACGAGACCATCATCCGCCAGACATCAGAAGCTCTGAAGAAGAAGAAGAAGAAGATGAGGAGAGTCCTGATGAAAACCAGAACCTCTTGAGACGTTCAGTCACCGATGACGGCGATTCCAAGAACACCTTGCAAGTTCCAGATGGTCGAGGGCGGTCTCTCAGCTCTCCCAGCATCAGCCCCGATATCCTACTCACCTTCTCGGCAGTGTCAGAAACTGCAAGGAGGTAAGGTCAAATGTTATGAGAGTCAAATAGAAGTACCGTACTGTGTGATCCTTTGTGCACATAGAGCCTTAGAGGTCTAGACAAAGTCTAACAAGTATCGTAAATCTCTGCGTATACAACGCACCTGTGTATAAGACGCACATCTATTTTGGGGGCCGAGAAACAAAAAAAAACGTAGCCGGGTCCGTGTTAAAAAACCCCCGCGGGGGAGGACCTTCATTTTACTGCGAGGTGCAGTTGAAGGTGCCGATTTGTGCTTGTGAACTTGTCGTTTTTAAAACTAAAGATGACAGAAAAATTCTCCTCTAAAGTCCAAACAGAAATCCGGACATAGTGTTGTTCCAGTTTCGGAGCGGTGAGTCAACACCCCGTGAACTAGGAGACAATGCCAGGTACAGTGCCAGGTGGAGGGGCATAAATCAACACTTAACATCTTGTGCCTGTGTACAAGACGCACCCCCGACTTCCGATATTTTTTGGCGGAAAAGAGGTGCGTCTTATACACAGAGATTTACGGTAGTTTCCTTTGGTCATCCCACAATAGGCATAGTGTTATGAGAACCGTTTATAGGCAAACACAAAATTTGGTTTTGATTTCCAATCATAAATATCTTGATAATCAGACAGGCGATTGGCTTGTAAAAGTCGTGGGGTTCCTGACTGATCTAAAGTTTTATAATTATCATTGCAGCATGAGCTAAATTCAGGATTCTGTTTCAGAATCTGAGACAAAGCTACCGGATTCCCTTTAAGGGCTTTGTGGATGAATTAATAATCACCATTATCCTTGATCGATTGATTTTATTTCATTTTATATAACAATTATTTGCACAATAATTATAAAGAACGTAGTTGACAAAGTAAGATCAAAATTATGAAACGAATCAGGAATCTACTGGAAAGCATAGCTTGTTTTTGTAGGCTCTCAATATATCTTGTCTTTTGTCCATTTATTCATTAGATTATCGGGGAGCAGCAGAATATCATACAAGACGTTCGACTGGGATTCTTCTAAAATGAATAAGGAGGAAGGCGCAGAAGCCCGTATAGAAAGTTTCATCAAGGCTAGCAAGTCAATGCTGGGGTTACAGGTATGTTGTATACAGTGAAACCTGTTTTTAATAGTGACCACCTGTATTGAAAGACCACCTGTCTATAAAGACCACATTTTCTGTTTTCCTCTTACATTGTTTCTCATCGAAACATTACTAAAGGAACCCCCTGCCTTAAGTTGGCATATCTGCAGTAGCACTATAAGGATTTTTTCTCCACCACAATTAAAATTCCACAAAGCAGTAGAGCATTTATGTACCATACCTGCCAACTCTTCCGAATAATCCGGAATATTCTGATTTTCTTAATTTTTTAGGACCTACAAATTTGGAATATTCTGATTTTTAAAAATTTCATTTTTTTTTTTTTTTTTATTTATTAAAAAAAAAAAAAATTAATACAAAAAATAAATTAAATCATAATTTTGTTGCTAAAGCCAAATTAAGCTTGTTTTATCATATACCGCGATCTGAGAGTTCTCGTATTGCGTACGTTGTATTCGCTTTTTTGTACAGATTTACCACGTATTGCCAGTTACACTGCCGCTGCATGTGCGAACGCCTGTTAAGGGTACGGATTTCTTATTTTCGAAGGCATACCGTGCTAGAAATGACTAATTCTTATTTTCAAATGTTGGCAGGTTATCTTATTACAGTCAAAGCTGCTTAAAGGGAAGTTCTAAATTAGTATTGTCTTTCAAATGCAGTTGGAATTTAACTTTTTCATTTTTTGGGCCTGCAAATGGGACATAGTAAAATTCCAACTGCATTTGAAAGACAATACTAATTTAGAACTTCCCTAAAAAAAGTGGGGCTTGAAAATGTCTTTAAGTGGGAAAATAACGACTATTAGTTGTCAAATCGACTTTAGGGCTATAGAGCCCAAAAGTAATAGTCTTGATTTTCAGACAATTGTACCGAATGGTCATACGTTTTATGCTGCGCAAAGATTCAATCAGTTTAATCTTGGCCATCACAAGAAGTGGGTTACTGATGTAGACAAATGCTCATGTACCCTTTACAACTCTTTTCATGTATGTTATTACCAAAGAAGAAAAAAAGCCAGTCAGTCACTCAATAGTGTCTGACAGTGAAGTCTAGCAAGTAAACAGGTTTCCTTGCATAATTTGAATATGAGGACAATGCTAACGTTTAAATTTCACAGATAGGTGTATACATGACATATTCATAATTCCTGCAAAGTTCTACAGAATTTGAGGTTGGCTGCAAAAGGGACATAGTACCGTTAAGTGACCACCTGTCTTCAAAGGCCACCTGTCTATAAAGACCACATTTGTTGTTTCCCTTGAAAGTGGTTTCTCATTGGAACATGTACTATAAAAGGAATCTGTCTACAAAGACCACTTTTTGTGTTTCCCTTGGGTGGTCGCTATAGACAGGTTTGACTACTTTATATCATATATCCATTGGATAGTGTGAGGACGCAGAGATCTCGGCTGCAGAGCGGGAGGTGGTGGTGGCAGAACTGCAGCAGGAGATTTCGGCGGTGCCCGGCGTCTTCGCCAATAACAATTCAGCTCAGACGACTGTTGATAGGAGGAAAGCCTTCCTGCGTATGACCTCACTGAACTCTGACCTGTCTATCGAACATGAGGTCGCGTGCAGGCAGAGAACATGGACGGATGAGGTCGATTCTCCAGTGAGGAGCGGTAAAGGTGAGGAATATGTTGATTTGTCACCTGGGTTTGAGGGGGAATGAGTACAGGGAAAACAAATATTTAAACAATTATTGGGGCTACTTTTCAAGCTTGTTTGCATGAAAATAACACTATAACTTGTTTTCCATTGAACTCTATGCACATGTTTGGGGGCTCTTTTATGACTTTCGGGGGCAAATTTACCCGAGCCCCCATGTATTTTTTTCCCTGAATGAGTAGTGCCCATTAGACCGACTGTCCATGAGACCGACTGTCCATGAGACCGACAGCCCTTCAGACAGACAGCCAATAAGACCAAAAGCCAATGAGACCAAAAGCCCAAAAGACTGACAGCCCTAAAGATGCACAACTCATGAGACAAGCAGGCAATGGAAAAGACAGCCCAATAAGACCAAAAGCCCAAAAGACTGACAGCCCTAAAGACGGACAGCCCATAAGACTTTGGCAACTGGATAACTAATGTTGAAGCGCCATAAGCTTCTCACCATGACAAATATGAGCTTCATATGAGGAGCCTTTGGTATTCATTGTTACCTTCTGCAA